TCACCAGGTAATTTAACTTCTCTGAAAAAATGAGACAACATGACATTTAGACAACACAGCAGGATTAATGCAAAAATAAATTCCAATCATACTTTATAAAGCTTCATTTACAGGTATTTCATCGTCAGTAAATGAATCCTCATTATCGTTTGGTTCAACCTGTTTATATAATCCTTTCATTTCTTCTTTCAAAACATAATACTATGTTTGTTTACCATCTATTTTTCTTTGTTTCCTATCACATTTATCCTTAATGCTCATTTGAAAATTCTTGTCTTTCATGTCTGATGGTTTGCAGAATAGAGCATTTTTACACGTCATACCTGTACACAATTCATCATAATGTGTATTTATCCATACATCTAAAGGATTTGTTGATAATTCAATTAAATCTTGTTTGGCTTCAGTCATCGGAATGATTCGTACATTAAATGATGAAAGGTCATATTGCATAAAATATGTTAGTAAATTATCATAAAATTCCTTTGTGCATGAATCCATTAAATTCTTGAAGTAATCAAATTGACCCTTGAATTTACCATTAACTCTTAAAACTACGTATCTTCTGTCTCCAACTTCAATTTTGACAGGGTAAACGTTGTTAGTTACGAAAATGAATTTGGCAACATTCTGAGCTGTTCTTCTGGGTTGATTCTTTTCATTAATTCTTATCTCATTATCCGTTATAATTGATTTCAAAGCGTTGAAGTTTGCGAGTCTGTCTTCACCTACATTCTTGAGTTCATTAAGTACAAGAAACATTTTATTTTCAACTACTGAGTTGAAATTACCCGTTAGCTCACTTATTTCAGTAATGTTTTTACATGAATAACCAGCGAGAAGTTCAGAAATAATGTCTGTGAATCTGTTTTTACCTGTTCCCTGAAGTCCTTTCAAAATAATTGCTGTTTCATTCTTGATACCAGGATGTTGAATCATTGATGCAATCCAGCCGAGAAGGTATTTATACACTTCATCGTTATTATCACAAATGGCTTCTTTAATGAAATCCATAAACATCTCAATTTTTGAGTAATCAGGCTTTTCAAGAATGTTGTATTTATAACCCTGAAACGTTGAGAAAACATCTGGGGAATCAGATTTAAAGCAAACACCCTTAACGGTTAATGAAGACAATTGATTTAATAGTACGTCCCATGCTGTTATGGTTTTACCTTCTTCTTTAAATAATTTAATCATTTTGAGTGACTCTTTCATGTTTGATTGAAGAACGAATGATATTTGATTCATTTTGTCGTGTATGTTGTAATCTTTCTGAATGAAGTATTTGTTTCCACAATCTACAAAACGGATTACACGTGATAAATCCTCAATTACTTCAGAACTGTTTTTATACTGATGATTTTCAGCCCTGCGTCTAATATCTGTTATCAAAAACGAGTCATCAAGTTTTATATCAAATGTTATTTTTGGCTTACGTAATAAAGGTAAAACATATTCATCATAATATTCCTTTTGATAAAGTTTTAGAATCTTCACTAAAACAAATGGAGAAGTCATTAAATGTGCATATCTACTACGTGCTTTTTCAAAATTACTTTTTGCATTTTCAGTTAAATTGCAGAAGTTATAAACGTTATCGTATGCTTCATTAATTAAATGATTAGGTAACGAATTAATTGCTTGAAACAATGTGAATAATGTAACTTCTTTTTCTAAATTCATGTTTCCACCGTCATTATGTACTTCAAAATCACTGATGCCATCAACTATGCTTTGAGCTAGTTTATCGTCAATGTTTACATCTTTGTTTTCATTCATGATAGTCTTTATTTCTTCGTTCTTCTGTTCAACTCTTACCTTAATATTCAAATCATTTAATATATCATTCACTGTTCTAGTTAATGTTGAATCATAACTTCCGCGAATGAATGAGTATGTATTGATTGGTTCTGATGCATTCTTGCGAACTCTTGAATCAGCCATAACCACTAAAGAACGCTTTGATTCATCCATAGAAGTCATTATGTCAATATCATAATCATTGCAGGAATAACATTTAATCATTCTGTTCGAAACTGCATAGAAGAAATTAGTGTTGCAATAAATGTGAAGACCTCCTGAAGCGGTTTTAACGATAACATCTTTATCCGAAAGTTTTGATAAAATATCTTTTCTAACTGTTTCTTTAAGTTCATCATTGTACGATTTATTGATATCAACATCTATAATCGTTAAATTCGAAATTTTATTTGCTAATAAAGCTGTACCAGTTTTCCTTCCTCTTCCTCCATCATGTTTGAGGTAGTTATGTAAATCAATCTTGTTTTCACCAATTCTTTCGTTGAGGGTTTTAGTTTCTGCCACAACTAATTCCTCAGCTAATGAATCAATAACTTGTTCATCAGAAACGATAAAGTTGCTGTTGTTGTTTGTTGCTGTCATTTATATAGGAATAAAAAAATAAAAATAATTTTAAAACTAACTTTATTTTTGGGTCATTTACACTCATTACGATGAAGTCATGACAAAGCATTTTCTGTGTTGTTGTCAAAATGTCATGAGGTTAGAAATGAGGTTAGATCTAACCATCTACCCTAAAAATTATTTTACTCAGAATTTTGTATAAAAAAACAACCGCCGGAATTCAGACAGTTGCTATATTCTTCACAAAACATTAACGTAAACATTAACGATAAAATATATTTTTGTCTGATTTACACTCATTACGATGAAGTCATGACAAATCATATACGTTCATAACTGCCTTCCCCCTGTGTTGTTGTCTAAATGTCATGTTGTCTCATTTTTTCAGAGAAGTTAAATTACCTGGTGACCTGGTGACCCCTTCAGTTCTTCAAAAATAATTCATTATTGAATGACCTGAAAACATTAACGATAAAATAACTGATGACAAATTTTTATTTTTATCATAAATGGATACCCCACAAGCTCAAAATTTACCACGAATCATAACAAGGGAGGAAACGATAAAAATGATGCAAGAACATGTTAAAAAAACAAACCACTAAAACTGAGAAAATGTGGTTATGCAGTAATGATGGAAAGAGAGATGTTGTCAAAGAGGAATAAAAATTAAATTTGGATTGAGTTTAAAAATTCATCTTTATTAAATTCATCTCTTCCAATCAATTTATTTATTCTATTAAATTCTTTTATTTTTGCTTCACTCAGTTTAATGATTGAACGATAAGTTTCTAATTTTTCGATTATTTCCTTATCGTTTTCAACCCCACCGCATTGCGGCTTCTTTTTGTAATAGCATATTTTTGATTTAATTCTGTTTAGTTTCTTTTTATATTCATCGTCTGGACTCTTGACTGCTTTGTTGTCACTCATTTCTTACGAAAAAAAAAAATTAAATATTATTTAAATATAATGGAGTAATAAAATAAATCGGAATTTCTATTAATTTATTGTCAACTTCAACTAATGCATTGCCGTTAATATATCTAACAAATTCAGCTATTGTGTCAAATCTTCGTCTTCTTTTTGTCATTGATTTATCAGTTTTTCCATAATCGAGATGAATCAAAACTTTATCCCCTTGTTTAAAATTCATGAGCCCCGAATTAATTTGTTCACGTTTAACATCATTCAACCTTCCATTTGCTTTCTAATATATTCCCATTCTTTTGAAATATCATTTTTCATTTCCACTGGTTTCATGTTTATTGTTCTATGCCATGTATTATTGTAATAATATACTAACTGTTGTATGATGGAGTCATGATTTCCATCCCAGTATATCTGACCGTTAACCCCTAACGCATCTCTAAGAGTTCTCATTACCGCATCAACTATTTTATTATGAAACGTATATGGAGAGGATGAAAAGAAAAAATTAATTTGTGGGAAATAATGAGTCATAGCTGCCTGAAATCCTTTATCACCATCACCCCTGATATTATCTACTCTTTCATGATCTAGTAAGTATTGAATAGCTCTTCTTGTTTCCTGTTCTGTTTTCCCTTTCACTCGAATGCAATATAAATATCTAGTGTTAATGTTAATGGCAAATAAATAAGTAACTTTTCCTTTTGAATATTCCAGATGATCGATTTCGTATGAATATGGATATGGTGCAAATGAAGGGCGACTAAATTTTTCCTTTAACGGTTGAATTTTCGGGTCAATTGGTTTATTTAATATTTTGAAATCCTTTTTAAAATCTTTTTGCTTCTTTAATGTTTGAAATGGATATAATAAAGTGAATGATGAAGGATTAACTGAAGGAGGAGGTGGTACTGTCGTTGGAGGTTTTGGTGTTGCAGGTGGTTTAATTTTATCTGCTTTGATTTTGGATGATGAAGTTTTGGAATTCATTCCTTCCTTCATTAATTCTGGATGTATTCTATTCATTTGTTTTAAATATGCTGTATATAAAGGTTTGATATACTTTCCCGCTTCGAGTTTATGTTGAAGGATGAATTCCAAAAGTTGATCTTCATTTAAAAGTCGGGCTGAATATGGTTTAACTAATGAATCATAAATTAAAGCTTGTGCATCATTTATGGTCTGAAGGACCTGGGTGTTTTGCACCTTTTGTTTTTGTTCCTTTGTTTTTTGCGGCTCATGATTATATAATTTATATAATTCATCAATATCTTCTTCTGTTAATACTTTATTTTTGAAATCTTTCAACTGTTTAAGTTGTGATTTAGTTTTTCCCTTTGAATATTCATTATTTTTAATTTTGTCTTTAATTTCAGAAATTATTCTATCATGATATTTCAAAATTTCATTTTTATAATATGGATAATAATATTCCATATCATCACCCGTTATATTGTTATCATATTTTTGGAGATATGCTTTTAAATCATAATAATCAAGAAAATTTTGATTAAATACTAAATCATCAATTAAAATTTTTAAATCTATGTTATCCATTTATATAAAAATAAAATAAATGTTTAAGGGTGCCCACCTCTTTGAATCATAGTATCAAAACCATCATTAACGGTTCCTTTTGTCTCTTCTGTGGCATTTTATTAAAAATAAAATTTTAAATTGTATTAAATAAATGGCATACAACATCCATTTTCACAACATACAGCCTTAGTGTGTGCTCCTGTTAATGCAGTCTTACCGATTGTTAAGCGAGTCATTGACCCGTTTTTAAGTTGTAAATTAATATTTTGACCATCAAATATCACTTTATCATTTATTATATCCAAATATTTTTTAGGTGTTAATTGCTTATTTTGTCTTAAACTAACACCCTTCATTTTTTGTGTAATCTTTTTAAAATCACTTCCATCAATTGAACCGTTGAATGAAGTATAACATTTAGGACATAAAGCAACCATGTTATCACCTTGTTTCTCAATTGCTAAACCCAATAACTTCTTCTCATGTGCTTTTTCTTCAGCTTTATTCTTTAATTTAGGTTTAAATTTCTCATCAAAACAGAAGAAATCAAATGGTGCGAATTTGAAAATGTTTTTATCATAAAATTGTTTATCGGTAACAATTGCTTGAAATGCTTGAGTGTTAGGAAGATTTGGATCGCCAGCGATTGCCCAATAAGATGAATCAGTATCACCTTCAATGAAATGAAAACGATTAACATCCATGCATTTATACATAAAATCATAAATGAAAACCAAATACCAGTATTTAGCATTATCTAAAGTGAAGAATGCCTCTTGTAAACATGTATCACATCTATAAAATCTATCTTTAAGCATCACTTGATATGTATCCTCACCTATTTCTCTTATGTTTTTAAACTTATTTGACATACATGCAACGCGTGACTTCTGTGCATTCATTATTTTAGTCTTTGCGTAATTTTGTGTATTCATTGCATCGTAACCATATGATCCATTAAGTGAAATCTTGCAAAATAAACTTTTTCCTTTATTTCCTTCTAATTCAGCCTTTTGTCTTTCATTCATAAATTTGTTCGCAAATTCATTAAAACAAGTGTTTTTCGTAAATGTTAAAATTGATTGAATGTCATCAATGATAAAATTAAACCTGTCGATTAGATACCAAAGATAATAAGAAGAAAATGGTTGATATTGGTTGTATGTTGATGCTAACTGCGTTAATTTCCTCTGTTTCTGGTCAACCGGTAGATTGTTTGATTTCATGTAATTATACATAAAACTGCCAATTGTTTTTTCATCTGTGATAATATCTAAGTTTCTTATTATCGGTAAAAAGTTTATGTAATCATTAATGTGTTTTTCATCAATGTGACCCTTTACTTCAGCCACGAATAAAGTATTTTTCTTATTAATTATTCCCAGTGCTTTTGCTTTCTTTGTTGCTGTATCACAAATGATAACACCATTCAATCTTCCCGGCATATACATTTTATGGTCAGTATATTGAATGAAATCATGAGGATTAGATGAAAATGATGAAGGATATAATGAATTAAAATCAACACCAACGAAATGAGTCATAATGTTGGTGGTGTCCTCATTTGATACAGTTTTAGTTTCTGGACTATATGAAAGTTTATTAATGTGCGTGATTCCTTTAAGATTTACTCTATGTTGAGCATTTGATAAACCACCAGTAATTCCATTACGGAGAATGTGATAAGCTTCAACTGAATCTAAAGTCATTGGTAAATTATTTTTTAATGCATAATTTCTTAAATTGATTCTTAAACGTTGAACATCTTCATCTTTATTTGATTTTACGACATTGCAATAACAACACATTAACTGACAATTTTCTTTGGTATGTGGTTTTTCATTATCGATTCTATCCAATGTTGGTTTATTTGCATATGTAAACGCTTTACCACACATTTTGCATTTAGATGAAAGGATTAAATCGTGATAGTATTGAAAATCATCCATTGAAACATTATTTTTAGTATCCCTTTCTGCTTTTTCATTTCTTGTTTCTTATATGATTCAATTTTATATTTCCAATACTTTTTCGTTAATTCAAACTTGATTCTATCTCTTCCTCAGGATATTTTTCATTAGGATTAAAGTCTTTATATGCTAAAGCGTAACGAATCATTGAAGCATTCGATGATAAAGAAAGATTATGAAGCATATCAATTTTATAAACAAATGTTTCTTCAATAATTTTATCAATTGGGTCAATCATAATTTCAACATCTTTATTGCAATAATGAATAAAATATTCTAATCTATTCTTAAAATTTTTAGCATCATTGAGATATATTTGATAATCACTATCTGATATAGTTTCTTGGGTTAATGCTGAATAAAATGAATCTTGAGTGAATGGTTCCTCTTTATATAATTCTTCTTCGTAATTTTCCCATGTGATGAATTGATAAGGGAAAAAGGATTTAACACGTGATTTATTGTTTCCGAAATCTTGAGTGAATTGGTCTAATGTCCCACCCGCTATATAATTTCTGATGTCAATAAATCTCAATTCATATGGAACGTTTGTTTTCTTTACAATGATTTGCTTAAATTGTGAAATGAACCCAGCATTGATTTTATTTTCCATTTTGCAGTGTTTAAATCACGAAGAATTAAATTTAAATCAAACTTTCCCGAATTAAAACCTATGATATTCACTTTATTGAATTCCTCATCTAGAAGTTCTTTAAATGCTTCCTTCTGTTTTTCATTTAATGTATGAGACTCCAATAATTCTTCATATTTTCAATATTTGATTTAGCAACTAATGAACAGGTTGAAAATAAAAACTCAATCCAATCAAGAAATAAAAGAATCACTCGAAGTTAAGCAAAAATTCCTCGTATATGTTTTATCATTTAATTTAACCGTTGATGATACCATGAATGGTTTTAAGTAAGCGTTCAAAGTTGCACACTCAGAAAGTTGTAATTCTTCTTTAGTCTCTAATGTTTCAAAGTCAAAAGTAAATAATCTTGTCGGTTTATAATATTTCTGCAAATTGTGAGCTAATAACCACTGATATATCTTCTGTTTCGTAATATGTGGTGCATATGGTTGCTGGGTATTTTGCAACTGAACGTCTTGAATTAATCTTCCATTATTTTCTTTACATTTCTCACAATGCTTTAAAAATCTTCTTTGGTTTTTCCTTTCTGGATCATCACGGATAGAATAAACTTCTTCTTTACAATATGGACAAACTTTATAGCCGGTGAGTGCTTCAACGTTTGTTATTCTGTCAGCGTGAAGTTTTCCACATGGACTCTGTGTTAATAAAATATTTACTGTTTCAAATTCTGGATCTATCATTATTGATTCCACTAATGGAAAAGTCTACCTTATTTATGTCCACGTCTTCTGGTTGAGGATCACAATAATAGAAATCAATATTAACATTTAACATTCTCGCTAATCTCTCACTTTCTGATGAAATGTCAAACCCTTCATATGAATCTATTGCTTCATTTAAATAGCTTCTACGAGTTTTAGGATTAACACCATCAGGAATGTTATAGAAGCGTTTAAATAACCTTCTACCTTCTGCTCTAATTTGATTATCATTCATTTTAGCTGTTCCGTTTTTGTTCATTTATGTAAGAATAAAAAAATTAAAAAAATAAATAAAAATAAAGTTTTTTTTTAAAGCCCATAAAATGAATTAAGAACACATAAATTTTTATCATCTGCGACGTGACGAATACATTTTAATTTACTCAAGAATGCGTACCCGGATACATTAAATCTAATTCCTGTCTTATTTAATTTCACAACTTTGAAAAGGAATGTATGAATAGCTATAAAATGATGAGAAGATGTTTTATGGGTTGCTTCCATTTTTTCTGAAATAAATGAATAAATATAATGCTTATACGTTTTCATATCTTTTATGTTCTTAATAACGAATGGTATAGACCTTTCCACTTCATCTTCCTTCGGTGCTGTTCTTTCATATGAAACATTATTAGTATCTTCAATAATGAAACCACAATCACACAAAATTTTATATGTTCCAATGGTTTCTTTTGATATTTTATCTAATAAATCAAAAACTTTATCAACACCTGTGCATTTATTTAAATAATAATTTGTGTAAATATCATGATCTTCTTTCTTAATCGTATTAGTTGCATATGTCACGTTTTTAAGAGCTTTTTTTGAATTTTTCGGAATCTAAAGGTGGTGAAAGTAAGATACAAGGGTATTCTTCATTATCAATAAATTGTAACTTATGTTTACGTATAAATTTAGTACCTTCTTCTGAAAGTGTTTCATCTATTTCGCCATCTAATAAATTTTGTGTTGATTCTGAGACATAATTTTTATATCTTTCTTCATGAGATTTCTGAACTTCTGATTCCGAAGCTGGGATATTCATTAAATCCTCTACTTCATTTTCATTATATTTTTCAACTTCTCTTAATTCCTTAATTTTTTCATCTATTTCATCTCTTATTTTTTCCAGTTTTTCAATTTCAATTTCATCGTATTCATCATCTTTAATCCGTTCTTCATAATATTCAGGGAAAACATCAGGTTCTTTAGGTTTTTCTTCTTCAGATGTGGGATATAAGAAATTTATAACATCATCTTTATTCATTTTTCCATCATAATCTAAATCATTTAATAACTCGGCAAATTTTTGACAATTTCTTAAATAATATTTACTAACTTCATAACACATCTCATCTAATATATCCTTTATTTCCTCGTTTGTGAATCCTAATGTTTTCACATCGTTAGTTTTGACGCTCATTTCTTACGAATTAAAAAATAAATTATTCAAAAATGTGAGACATGAATTTTTAAAGTTTATTTTTTTATTTCATTATGGTAGTGAATCTTTCATTCATGAAAATAATTATTTCTGATTTCTTCTTCTCTCTCGTACATACTAGATTTGAAGAATTCAGAACTTTTACCATAATCTCCTAAATGTTTTCTTATCCCCAACGTGTGCCAGTTATTATATGAAACTGAATAAACTTTATCTTTATCTTTACACCTTTCATCACTTCCAATATATTTATATCTCAGTTTTGATTTAGCATTTTCATATTCATTAACGTTTAATAATTCACAATCTTCCTTTTTAAATAAATGTTTAAGATATTCAGGATTTAATACTCTACGTTTATATGCTCCTAACTTAGTTCTAAAGGTTTTTCTACAAAATTTAGGAATTCCATCCTCTTTAATGTCATCAATGATTTCCATTTCATTATTTTCAATTTCTTCTTCTCGTTTATGAGGTCTTTGATTATGACTCCATTGATTCCATGAAATTAAATATTCTTTATCATTATATTTATACCTCATTAGCTTATTTTGGCTTTCATATTCATTTAATAATTCACAATCTTCATTTTTAAATTGAAGTTTAACCCATTCAGGATTTAAACAATGTTTAATTAATCGCGGAATATCTGACATCATCTATATATAGCTTCTTTTATAAAAGATAAAAAAATAAATTATTTTAAAATTAATGTTAATTTTTTAATGATTTATAAATAAATATATTTTAATGTATCGTCTATATATAGATGTAACAAAAAAAGTCACTAAACCCATCATATCCTACTACTGTTTGCAATAAAATTTACGTTAGCACAAAAGAATTAACATCAACTAGAATATAAACAATATTGACTTGGGCATAAATATATTCGATGTGGATATATTCTACTCAAAATTGAAATCAATTTAATTTTAACAGTTCCGAAGGAGGTAGAAATATGTTGTATGCTTATAATTGATAAAATTAACAGTAAAATCTTCTTAATTCAATATATTGAAATAAACCACCGGTATGTTTTCAAAACTAAGATTGAATTGACATATATTTTTTGAATATCATCACTGGGAAAAAGTTTAGAATGAAAAAAAGAAGTAGTAAAAATTATATAAACAAGTAATGCTACACGAGGTTATATCTTCAATTTCCATAAATCAAAGGGAAAAATAATAAAATAAAATATAAATTTGAAATAAAATGGAAAAATTTAGCAAAAAACCATTTACTAAATCAATTGCAATTCAATTACAATGATAAACACGTTTCCATGAAGATATGAAAATAAACATAATTTAATTTAAAAAAACAATAGCATAAATGAATGAATGACAAGCAGTTCAGCTTTGTTGAAGAAGGACATAATTGATAATCTTCAAAAACAAAAAAATATTTTTCAAAAAGAATATAAATGACAAACGAAGAAAATGAATATTACAAATTAAACATTAAATATGAGTAAATTGATATTTTCTTATCAAACAGAAAAAAATACATATCAATAAAATATCAAAATGAATGAGAACGATCATTTCAAAGATCACATATGAATGAAATTATCTGGTATTATTTATTTTGATTCCCTTTTATTATAACAAAATTTCAAAAAAAAATTTTCTGAAAATATTAATTGAAATTGATAGTCCGAAATGGAAATGATTTTAATTTCGAAATGCTTTGATTAAACAATATTGTTATCAAAATAAATTTTTTAAATTTATTTCCGAATAATTTTTGAAAAAGTCTGTATACTTAAAATTAAAGAATAAAATTAATTATTTTTACTCAACGATCATAAATTTTCAGAAGTATTCAAATTCCACAATGACATTTTGCTAATTATTTTATATACAATTGTTGCTTTTATCATATATGATTAGATTTATTTAGTTTTTTTCAGATATTAGATTTTGAAATGATTGTGGCAAATTCTGAATGCAAAAAATGAGATTATTCACAATAAAGATTTTGTGAGTTTTACATATAAAAACTGAAAAAGTTAATAGTAAACAACAAGGATTTAATAATTACTAATGGGAATTTAAGAGCTGTGATATGTCTAAAGGGTCTAAAGAATAGCAGGTTTTTTCAGAATGTCTCTTTGCTAATTCGATATATTGAGGTATATGTGGACTAATTTCTTCCCAATGCTCTGCATACCAGCAAAGCAATGCTGTCCTATTTCTTTTTGCTAAGCGGTCAATAGGAATACCCTTAAATTTTTGTTATTGGACAAAAAAGTGACACCAAATCACACTTGTTTGTTGGATCTTACCATTCCAGATAAATATAGCAACTTGATTTTATGAAATTAGATAGATATATATGTGTACTTTTATCCCGTGTTGTTTTCTCGAAAACCTAATATCCTATGGGGATGCTGATTTTGAGCTTGTGTAAAAGTCAAGTGTCAATTATATGGCAATATTCTACCATATGTGGTGATGATATTTCAATATGTGTCTTTGTTAAAATTAAAAGTTTGAGATGAAATCAGCCTTATTTTATTTTGATGTGGTATTATTTTTTGTTCTCTATGATGCATTATAATAACATATTAGGAATAAATGCCAACTATTGATTTTCTTGAGAGTTTGGCACAAATCACGTCAAAAGATTATTGATGTCTGGCACGATCATGAGTTGTGCTTTTTTTGGCTTGTCGGGGTATTTTGCCTAATGGTTAGAACAGAATGGCTATGTGTTGTCGATAATCATAAATAATTTATTTGGCGCTATATTGTTTATCTAATTTGCAACTATATATTCAGGGGCTAAGACGGTTTATAGGAATAATGCACATAATGAGAAGGCTAGAAGTCGTGATTTTTTGGCGTATTACAAAAAAATCCTATAAAGAATCATATTTGAGCCATATTTTTAAATACAATGATATAGTTATGGAATTTATATCCAGAATATATAAAGTAATATGAAATTGAGACTGAATAAAAAAAAATATAAAAAAATTAAAGGAAATTAAGTAAAAATATGTTTGACATTTATCAAATATAGGTAGAAAATGTGGTGGTACATTTATTATCAAAAAATAGGGTTAAAATTTTTGAATAAAAAATATTCGATTAGAACAAATTATAAAGTGAAAATATAAATCTTACTTAAGAAGATTAATGATTGGTGATATAAAATGCTAAATTTTAATAGAAGCAAAATAAAAAATAAGCGATATTATATTATTATTAAGGGTGCCCTATAGACGATAGCCCCCTCAGAAAAAATAACCTTAAATAAAACCAATGCTTTTCGAGACCTATTTTGGTACCTCCAAAAACATTTTCTTAGCAAAAAATCAAGTTGATGTATTTTGTTTTGTCATCGTAGATACTCTAATTTTCGCCCAGTAATGTTATATAAAAGGAGCTTTTTTGTCGAAATGCAAAACAAAATTGGCCATTAATGTGGTGAATTATCGATTTTTGGTACAGCATACTTTCTTATCAATGAATAAATGCAGCTACTTGATAAAAGAGTCTTCAAAAGCAACTTTTGAAAAAAAAATTCCTTATTTACATCAAGAGCCGAATACTTTTACGATGAATATTAATAAAATTTGTCGGTATTTATTCTTACAGATTATCAGATCACAAAAGCCAAAAATTGTTTATTATTTTTTTCAGAATAAAAATTTCGAATGTATCAATTATATCAAATACATACATTTTATTCATACATTACAAATGAAAGATTTAATTTTTGAAAAACATAAATTTTTTCGAAAATCAAATATTTCGGTGTATTATATGCGCCTTTGTTTAAATTATTCGCCAATTCCTCATCACGAATGTAAGATATTTTGGTATTACAAAAGAGAATCCATGAATTGATGTTTTCGTCCAAAATAATAATATTATATTGTCGACTGTGATAAGTTATTATGGCTACTAGTTTGGATTTTACAGCTGGATTGTTATTCCATGTGTAATCATCCAATGGAAACGTAAAACCAGCAACATCAATAAAAAGATAATCTGAAAAAGTAGGAGTAACTTGAAGTTCGTTATTATTAACAAGAGGAATGTCAATTTTATCTGTAAATCCCCAGCAGAATTTTTTGAAATAATCAATAAGATCTAGTTGCCTAGCTTCACATGCAAGCGATTCTTGTAATTGTTTGAAAGCATCAATTGGATCAGCTTGATGTATCTTTTGCCGTTTCGAGTACAGGTGATACAGATAAGTAACATCTGCATTTTCCGAAAAGTTCCGATTTGTGAGCGATAATATTTCTTTGTATATTAACTGTTGCTCATTGGGATTAGAGAATAATTCGTCAAATAGTTTGTGCATTAATGGTCGAAATGTAATAAGTTGAACAATAACGGCAAGAAAACTGAGATTTTTTCCAAGCTTGATACCAAGCTTTTGTTTTTTAGGCTTATCATGTGTTTTTCTGAGTGTCTGTGGAAGTTGTATCAAATCAGGATGAAAATCTGCTATCATTTCAAGAGATGGTGGATTGTGGCTGAGGACGTTAAGATAATTGATTGCATTTATCTTAATTTTCTCAAAGTTATGAAAATCAGTAAAAGCTGAATTCATAATTTCTTTTGCTTGCTGAGAATCGTAAACTGCAACAGCCGAGATGTTTTCTTCATTAATACGAATTAAAGACGAGTACGTATTATAAAGATCTTGTTTAAATTTGGATAATAAATTTTGGAATTCTTGAGGATCATCTGGAATTTCCTTCGCCTTGAAGAAAAATGAAAACCTTTTCCAATCTGGTGGTACTTTGATATCGGAACCAAATATAGATTTTTTGTTGAATTTTGGATAATCTGTTGGAAGTGAAAGATTTTCAGATTCTGACGGTTCTTCATAGTTAGTATCCCTAAGTTGCGTACTGTGGCACTGCGCGCCTCCGTACACCACTTAGCGGTTTTGACACTTTACGAAACCGGTAACGTATATTTTACAACACAACCATAACACCAACTTAACCTTAAATATTTACAAAACCATCTGACACATAAACGACTTCACTAACGAATTCACTACCGTCCTCACTAAATAAAAATAACCTTATTTTTATTTTTTTAATTTTTTATTTCATTACAAAGACATGTCTGACTACATTTACTATGACTCTTTCCCAGAACGTTTCCGTGAACTATTCAAAACTCAAGTAAAACTGAGAAACATGCATTTTAACAAAGACAGACCCATTGACGATGAAAGAAACCCTGAATATATTACAATCCCTTATGACGCAAAGTTCATTGCATACATTCCTTATGGTCGCAGAGGAACGAAAACTATTTCAACAAAGAACAAAAATTATTTCTGGAGCGATGAAGAAAATTGCCTTATCTACATAAATGCATACTTAAATAAAGCTACATATTGTACAAAAGAAGGTTGGACTGGATTTGAGCTCTACATATACGACGACGATGGAAACAGACGTTGTGTATACCCATACGATAATATGTACCATTGTTTTCATCAAGCATTAAACGAATACATAGTCAGTAAGGGTGTCATTCCTGCTGAGTAGAAATGTTATATTTTTGTTCTGTCATTTATAAAAAAAATAAACTTAAAAATAAATGATATCACCACCCTCACACGTATGAAAACATAGCACAAAAATAAATTTAGGTGAAGTGGTGAAATCTCACCTCTTTTTTCACCCGGTTTCTAACCTCATTTCTATCCTGTTGAATTCATTGCTTTATAACTCTCTTCCTTTCTCCAACTCTTCTAACTTCTTCTTAAGTTCAGCAATGTTGTCCTCATGAAGTTTAATCTTCCTTAATATACCTTCTTTATCTAATGGTTGCTTTATCTTTCTAAACTGAACTCTACCATCCTTCATAGTATGAATGTAAAAACCTTCTGGAATAGTTCCTGATTTAATGTATTCTACCAAAAACTTTTGTTTCATTGCTTCAGTGACTTTATTTGTCATTTCAATCAAATAAAAATTTTAATATTAAATAAAAATAACGTTATTTTTTCATTAAGGAAACGCAGGAGTTTTACGATTTATTTGAGGAGTAGGTTCTGGTTTAAATGTTGGAGTCGGTTTAGGAGTTGACTTTTGAACAGGAGTTTGTACTTCCATAGGTTCAGGAGTCATTGAAGGTTTTGCTTGTGAAGGCGTTGGTTTTGGCGAAGGTGTTGGAGTTTGTTTAACTTCAGCTACTTCAGTATTATTTACAACATTTGCTTTATTTCTTTTCAACATCATAACTGCTCCTTCTGTAGCTAGCAAACCTAGTGGGAGACCATATTTTATATAAGGACTTGACCAAATGCTATTTTTGACAGGAGCTGGTGGAACACCTAACCTTGGTGAGACTGCTCTTTGCCATTGTGCAGCTCGTAAGAAATATTCAATAGGTGCTCCATAATCGTTTGGTAAAGTTTGTTTCACAAGATGGTGAAGGTTCACGAGAGCTTGATGAAGAACTCATTTATAAGCTTTAAAAATAAACGTTCATCCTTTATTCCTCACGTCGTCCGTAGCTAAGTTATAGTCATCTAATCTTATTATTGGGATGCCATTAGCACGCACCTGAATGGCAAAGCAACAATCCCTCATAAATCCAATAAGTGGCTTTGGTACATTTTCAGTTGCTAGTTCAATAGGTCCTTTAACAGACAATTTGTATGTTATTGGAGCAGTAGATGTTTGACCTTGCTGGAAGCAAAAGTCCACTTCTGTTGGAAAACCACATAAGAAATGTGTGTTGTCATAGCTATCCCATTTATGTTCCACACTACCATCATCCACCAATGACCTCATAACATCTTCATTAAATCCTATCATATCATTGTTTGTATTGCAGGCGTTCGCAACCATTTCATAAAATACAGGTCCATATGATTTTTCGGGTTCTGCAGGCATATTTCCATAAGCTCCCATGGAAAGCTGAAGATATTTAAACTTAGGGTTCTCAAAATTAACATAATAGTTGTCTTTCTTTCTAAATAGTGCCCAAATACTTTTAACATTAATAGGCGTATAAGCTGCTGTAAATGTTGCACTTGAACTATCTGTATTCTTTGAGAATGAACCGTCCATAGGAATCCAATCCATAACTTTAACAGGAAAACATAAAGCCTCGTTTGTATAATGTTCTACAAGTTCTGTATAAATGTTAGGGTCTAAAGAGAATGACTTTGGATGAATGAAACATTCATTAAAATCCATCTTTGTTCGAAATAGTTGCTGGGTTACAGTTGTAATAGTAACTGTTCCACTAGCTTCTACTGCCTTCGTTATCATAGTGAATGGTTCATTCCATGGAACAAATTTATTTGTCGGTGGATTTGAATCTGAAGCAAATGCAACTTTAAGAGTTGGATTGAAAGCAATGATATCATTTACAGATATAGATGTGCATTGTAAGGCGTCGCTACTGAACTTTACTTTAAGCTGAATGTTTCCTGCAAAAGCTGGAATAAATCGAATAGCTTCTAATGGAAGGAATCTTCTAACAGGAATTCTTAAACGAACTTAAAATCAAATGATTTTCCTGCTGTAATTGGACCACTAACAATTTGTCCTGTTCTGCATGTTCCCGAATGACTCCATACATCTTCATGTCGAGTCTTTGAGAAAACATCTACTTTCTTTATTTGTTCGGTAGTTTGTGAGTTTGAAGTTATATATGCTTCTTCTCTTGCGTTGTCTTGAGAATATACGATACGACCATTTGCAAGGATTTGATATCCAGCAACTGCATAGAAAGCGTCATCGAAACCAATCCAAAATCCTGGTGGGTTTGTTTTATTGGAACCTGAACCAATTTCTTTATCTACAATAAATTGACCTTCCATTTTATACGTAATGAATGTATTGTAAAGGTCCAACATATTTTCACCAGGAGGTAAGAGATTGAATGTTACCCATGTGTTATCTTTAGCAGTTCCAGGTTGTGATGGAATCTTTGCGTCAGAATATTTTCTATTAGTGTCACCAATTTGAACTGCATTGTCTATGATATCGAAATATGAGCGAATCTGATGAATATGCTCTGCTGGAGTAAATTCGTTTAACTGTTCGTTCTGCATGTCTTTGATTCGGATAAAAATATCTATTTACTTCATTATTCTCACTCTTCTTCTTGGCATTCGTGGTGGAAGTTGTTTCTTGACATTTTCAATGAACTGTACATTCTCTTTTGTCTCAACTTCTTTCACTGGCGGGTCAGGATTCTTTGACTCAGTTTGCTTTTCAATGAAATTCACGAACTTTGCAATAAGCTCTTGGTTCGTTATTGAAAGTACATCTGGCTTCTTTTCTTCTGGTTCTATTGACTTTTCAGTTTGAATAGAAGGCTTAACATGGGCTTCGCCCTCGGTGCCATGCACCTTAATGTTGTCGCTTTCTGCATTCGCTAATGGAACCTTTCTTTTTCTTACGTATATTTTACCATCTTTACTCTGACTTACGTAATAGAAAGGATGTTGTATTCCTCTTGCGTCATTTAATATAATAGACTCTCGCTCTGATTTTGACAAGCTCATTTTACATCGGTTAAAGTTTTAATTTTGTTTTTTATCTGCAGTCAAATGACTCAGACAAGCCCTACGGACAAGACCCAAGGGGTCATAGATGTTGAAGCATTGAAGAAAGAAATTCGTGAGCAAATTTTATCCGAACTGAAGGAACAAAAACAAGAACAAAAGCCAGAGAGAACAAAGAGAAAACTTAGTGAAAAACAACTTGCTGCATTAGCTGCTGGAAGACAGAAGAACCCAAGACTACTGGCGAAGAAAGCTAGAGAAGAAGCTGAAGCAAAGAAAGAGTAAATGTGTTATTTTTATCGGAACTAAATGTATAGACAAATACCTTTATCTGTTGCGTTCAGTAGTGAAAACCCTGACGTCAAAATAAAGGGGAACAGAGTAACGTTTAAGTTTCCAACAGACTGGATTGTGAACATAAATGAAGAGAAGTGCATTGGCATAACAAATATGTATATAACACGTGCTTTCAGAAAGGTTGACTTTATACTTCAAGTCGAGATAGAAAATGACGAACAGTCTTTAAGCGCCCAAAACATTCACATATACAAATACTTCAATGGCAGTACGACGTTAGAAGACTGTATAATTACATTTTACGAAAATTTTCAAAAGAAGTTTAACATGGATTTAGAAAAATTAAAACCTTTACGTGATTTTCTTGCAGAACTGAAAGAAGAAGGAATTGTAGAAAGATTAATAGCTTTTCATTACGAGTTTGTACCAAATGAAGATGGAACTCATGACTGTCAATTCATTGTATTCTCACCATTCAATGAAGTCGCTAAAGAGAAAGAAAATCCATTACGTATAAGATTTCAAATCTCTGAACCAAGTGATGATTTCAAGAATGTTTTCAATTATGATGCAATGCTTCCGAGGAAAAATGATTTTTCCGAAATTAGATTTCCAGGTATTTGGGATAGAAAGCAAGCTATATTATATTCAAACTTAAGTAAGGGAGTTGAAAATGAGTTCATTGGTCATACAAGAACTTCACCACTTCCTAACCCTAAATACTATAAATTAACTGGCTTCAATCGTGAGTTTTGGATAGACATGTTCTCCACTCATGACCATAACTACCCAATGTTCTTACCTCCAGATGGGAAAGATTGTCTCTACATTGAAGCACAACTCTTAAACTCTACCATCGCAGTATTGTAAAATCTACGCTAGTTTTATTTTTTTCTGAAAATTTTATTTGAGTGAAAGGCATGGAAGGTGAAGGACATTGGCAAACACTCGAACATGACAATGACTATGAAATCTTTTCAGAGTACCCTTATCCAATTAGACGTATAAGCAATAAAAGAGTTGTTAGTGAGTTTGACCAAGGAGTTGGTTATATTTGTGTAAATTTAAACAAACACAAGCTGATGAAACATAGAATAGTTGCAGAAACTTTCATTCCGAACCCTGAAGGACTTCGTGAAGTAGACCATATAAACAGAGACAGAGGAGACTTTCATATCTCGAACTTAAGATGGACGACAAGAAGAGAAAACATGAGAAATATTTCTGGTTCAAATGGCTATTGGTTTGACATTGTTGACTCTCTTGCTGAAGACACTGTTGAAATTATACAATACTCATATCACACGTTAGAGAACTACTACTATGTCCCAAGTGAAGATGCCTTTTACTATTTCATGGGAACTCAATACAGACGAATGAATGTCTTAAGACAGTATAACAAAGATTATATAAACATTACAGATGTAGAAGGAAGAAGAACAAAGCTGTCTATTGCAAAGTTTAAGAGAGACAATGGTTATACATAAATGACAAAAATATATGACCTATGACTTCGCCCTCAGCGGCTTATTTTTATCACGAATGACCTCATTGCTGACAAAAATAAATGACCTCAGAACTTCAACTTACGAATAAAGCTTGTTTTAGTCGTTATTGAGAAGTTAAACTTTTCAGCAAAGCAAGGACTAGAAGACTTACATAAGTCAAATCCAATCTCTTGACCATCATGAAGTGCTTTGTAAAGTTTCATTAAACTGAACTCAGAGTCTTTGTCATATGTTCCAACAGGTATGTGAATGTTCTTATCTTCATTGTAATAGCATTGTATAGCTTCAGGAAACATTTCATTAGCTGTTAAAGCAAGGACGTCTTGTTTGACACCTTTGCAACGTGCATGAAATGCAACTTCATTTAAATCGTTAGTGAGTAAGTCTATGTAGGTCTTCTTTCCACAAAATATTGACTTGTATGCTAAACTTTGTTTTCCAGGTGTTATTTCTGCGAAGTCAGAATGAAATTGACCAAGGTTCTTTCCTATAAGTTCGCGACCGTATCTCTTCTTAAACTCTGCTGCGAGCTTTGGTATGTCTTCATTGAAAATATGCATGCTATCACAGTCCTGGTAAAATATTTGAAGTCCCATATCTTCAGCAGTACAGAATACTTCACACATTATTCTCTTCGACATAGATAAGAATATTAACACCAAGTGGACAGAAGTTAAAGTGTCTGCAAATGCTTTTCGTTAGCTTGAAAATAGTTTTATCTGAACCATCCAAACCTTCGAACTTCACTATATGGTTGTAGTTTCTGATGGCATATCTTATAGCATCTTTGTCATTTACTATGGTTATTTTTGACTCAATAGGAGATAGAATAGTTTTGCCATAAATACTGTTCAGAATGAGCTTTATATTTTCTTGCAAAGGATTTCCTTCTTTCTTATACTTTAACCTTAACTCAAACAACTTCTTTACTTCATCTCTTATTCTAATATCTCTGTTTCCATCGTAATAGTATCCTTGCAACACTTCACATTTGACACCTTGATATTTTATGAGGTCTTGTAATGTTATATGGTCAACATACATTAAACAGCAAGTGTTTGAACTTCTGGGAACGTTAAGTTCTGGATTTAGTTCAGGGTCACAAACTATTAAAGGAAAGTGTCTATGTATTCCAATCTCTGTTATCTTAATGAGAACAAAGAAGCCAGACATAAACTTTTCACCAATGGGTTCCTTTTGGTCGTCATCGAATAAATGTCTCATGAGATACTCTGTGCTTAACATTTCTTTCTTCATAACCTTTGGAATACCTTCTAAAGTATAAAGTCTTGCTATAGCTGATGGATATAATGAAACAGCGTCGAAATCAGCAATGAGTTTCTTTTCGCTCTTTTGTTTCATGTTATCTGACAGCATACATCTTCCACCTTGAATACAGCGTGAAATAAATTCTCTTGGTTTATTTGAGAGGTCATATAAATTTCCATTCGGGAAGTACACTCTGTTCTCAAACAATTTGTTAGCAATTGAACAAATACTAACGTAGTCATAAACGTTTAAATCAAATTATTTTAATATATCATTGCGGAACTTAACAAAACCTTCTCTTAAAATTCTTACATCTTGTTTGCAATAAAATGTGCTATACTTTTCTAAGTCGAAGTGGTTTTCATCTATTCTGCAACCTTTGATGGAATCTATGTTTTTCATGAACGTATTCGCATCCTGGATAAACTTACACGCTTCAGAAATTACGCCAGTTTTGTTGTCATGTGCTAACAAAACACTGCTGTAGTAGTTGTATGGAAATACTTCTTTCGGTCCTGTTTGTAAGTTAAACATAGCAGGAAATAGTTTAAGCTTCTTATTTATAACACTGTAAGAGTCTTTTATAATAATTGCCCTTCCTTTATATAAGCCAGTTATTTGCATTGTTCGTGAACCTTTAATGATGGGAGTTCCTTTCACTTCTGTCATGTGTCTTAAGATGAAGTTTATATCATAACTGAGGTTATGGAAATATATTAAACTCTTGTCAGGAAGTCGTTCCAAAAATTCTGTTGCACAGTTCTGACCCCAAATGCTTTCACTCACTGAACCATCTTCACTGTCATAACAGATGTTAAAAGCTTTATGAAAGCCGTCTGTGCTACACTCAAAGTCAGCAAAGAAAACGTGCTCAGGAATGAACTTGCACTTATTTTTATTTACTTCTTTTGACTCGGCTTTCTTCTTCAGTTGTACACAATACTTTGGAGCATATGTCAAATCTTTAAATGGTGCAAGGTTCTGTTTATATAAGTCAGTCGTATATGTGAAAAGTTCTCCATAAGAAATAGGTTCGAAATATTTGCACTCCCACAATGTTTTCATAACATCCCATAACGGTGTTGTTCTATCATAACGAACTACATATTTGTTCTCTCTCTTTGTATAAATCTTCATCTGTTTCTCAATGTTCATTCCACCACACTCCTTCAAGATTTCTATATAGTTGCGAATGAAATATGTTGTCATTGGTAATCTTTCATTTAGCATGTAGTGGTCTTCAACAAGAAGTAAGTCAATAGTTCGAACAGTTTACATTCTTTTGGTATGTATCTCTTTATTTCATTATGTCTTGAGTCATTGAAGTAACCAATGGTAACATTAAATGCTATACCTGTTGCGTCAGAAATTTCTTGTACTTTACTTTGAGGAAAGTCTCTAACACGAATGACTTCTCTCATGTGGTCAATAGTTTCTTCATTTACTCCAGCCTGAATGCAAGCATAAACGAAACAATTGTCTTCTGTCATAAGTGTTGCAGTTCTTTTGTTCAGTTCATTGAAGATTTGGTAGCGTTCAAGATTTATAGGTAATGTGCAAAGATACTTCCAGAACTGACCGCTTCTCTTCTTATAAAACTTCTTTTCACCATTATCTTTCCAAAAGCTTTCTATAAGTGCTGGGTTTCCTGTTTGCTTAAGAGCTTCCAAAATGGCTTTCTGGTCATTTGTCAGTGTGCTTTCATCTCTATATGGTCTCTTTTTTGGTTTGCCTTTCTTTACATCTGACATCGTTAAGCCTTCATATTCTGTTAAATCATACATCTTTATTTCAGTAAGATTCTTTATGTTTGTCAAGAAGAAGTCATAGTGCATTTCAACAATACCTGCAGCATTTGCTTCTATCTCTGATATAAAGTTCTCCTTCAAGAGCTGATGTAGTAATGTTCCAATATTATTGAGGTTTAACGTAGAACATTCATACTTTCCACCAAGTTTATAACATACCATCCATCTTTGTTGGGAGTTTATTTTAATCTTCTCTAAGAGTCTCATGAAAACCTTACCGAAATGTTTGTGTAAGTAGTCTCTGTTTGGTTCATCTAAAGCTTCGATGTTAAAGTCAATGAGTCTATTGCCTGTCTTCACATTCCTCTTCCTATTCTCTTCATCTTTCTTTAACCATCTCTCACCTTCTTTTGGTTTGTCGTCAATGGAACGAATGACATCGTTAGCTTTGCGAACTTGTTCTATAGCGCTCTTAAACATCTCTCTTCTCTGTTGTTTCAGTGTGTCGTCTCTTCTTCTTGTTTCACCAACGTTTGCATTTGTTATGTCAAACATTTCTCTTCTTACTTCATGAGGTACTGAACGTCTATGATATAAGTCAATAGCAACGTCATTTAAAGGAAATGCTCTTGCATGGACTTCGTCCTCGCCGCGTTGCGGCTTTATGAACTCATGAATTCTATCATAACTTATTGCACCATTATAGTCATTGAGGATGTCAGCGAGTGCTTTTTTGTTTGTTGCGTAATGCTTTGCAACATCTATATTAGCTTCTGTAAGAAGTTGTTTTATTTTCGAGTGTTCTAACTTAGACAACTTCCGATACATCTTTAGTAGGAAATAAAAAAATATTTTTTGAAAAAATTAGATTAGATTTTTTTAAGTTATTTTTCAAAATAATTTAATATTTTTATTTTAATGAAACACATGCAAGATTGCAAGTTCTTTTCATACAATGCTCTCGCTACTGCCATCAAGAATGAGTTCAATAATGCTTCAAATGTTAATGTTATCTTTAACAAGAAGTTTGTGAAAGAATCTAAGTTTGGTCAGTATGTCAGACCATTAGCTATCGTCATTGACCGCAAACGTTATACTTCACAAGAGTTAGCAGTAGTTTTGAAACAAAAGAGTATCTTCGTGAATGTCAAAGATACTCATTATACTGTCATAAAGAACTCTAACGTTGACTTCTTCAGTATTGCTTTAAATCTTTCCGAACAGAAAGAATATAAGAAGGGTGAAACATCTGTGAAATATTATCCTTCATCTCTGAAGACAATAACGAACAAAGATGTTATACAGAAATTCTTACCAAAGGTTGAAGAAGCTTCTATTGACATTGATGAAGGAAGTGAAATGGTTGAAGAAATAGACCCTGAAGCTTTATAAGAAAATTTATTTTTGAATAACTGATGGTGACGTGGTGACACTGAAAAAATTAATGAAAACATAAACGAAAACATTTATTTCCTGGACTGTTGTCTAAATGTCATGTTGTCATCATTTTTCAGTTGCGATGGAATATATCTAACCTTCCCGTTAACTAATAAACTTGACGATCAGACGATTCTCCCTTCGTCGATTATGATCGACATGGAGCGTTTATGGAAACAATTAAATGGTAAAAACAAAATAAACTTGACGATCAGACGATTCTCTCTTCGTCGATTATGTTCGACACGGAGCATTTATGGAAACAATTAAATGGTAAAAACAAAATAATCGACGAAGGGTTTTGTTTTATCATGGTTTTCTCCACTATGGTCCTAACGTGGCACCCGACGAGATTTTTTTCATTCTTCCTCTTTGAAGTTGTCGAAATATCCTGTTATCTTTTCCTTCAGTAATGTTAAGTCTTCTTTGAATGTAAGTATTGTGCAACCTTTGATGTCATAGTGTGTTTGAGGAAGAGTATTTTTGACAATTTCCTTTATTTGCTCATTCGGAGTCATTGAAATCGGTAAGTTTTCACGATAGAACCAGTTTCTGTCAGATTTATATATCTTAGCTAAGTCATAAAAGCTCTTGTTGTTTCTTCTGACTAAATGTAACATAACCATATCTTTATCTTCTTCATTTTCCAACTCTTCAGTATAAATCATATACTTATAACTCTTTTCCTTTCCTTTTGGTACTGAACGCGGTATTCTTTTCTGTATGCTTTTGTCTTTGGATTCAATGACTTCATCTTTTGCATGAAGTTTCTTTTCCATCTCTCCACGTTCTGCTTTATATAGTTCATCTAACATCATGAAAATATAACAAGCATAACGAGGTGAAGTCCACATTGCTACGGCGTTTACTAAAAGTCTATGAACATAATAACCTTTCAAACCAGGAGCCAAATTCTTGCGATTTTCGTACGGAATCTCTTCCCTCGGTTTTCCGAGGGAAGCAATCATATGAGGAAATTCTTCTAAAAGTTCTTTTGTCTGTTGGTTTTCAAACCAATGATATGCTTGCTTTGTAGAACGAAGAGCATTCATTATACTTTGCATTTGGTACATATCGTCTTTGACTGAACGAATGAGACGTAACTGTTTGTTATACTGTATGTACTCGTATTCTTCATTTATAGCTTCATGGACTATAACTGTTGTTGTGTTCTCTGATGTTGACATTACTGTCTTTACATACAAAATAAAAAAATAAATAAAAATAAAACTAACTTTATTTTTATCTTTTATGAAAATTCATGAAATTTGGTCATTTTTCAGCAAAAATAATGTTTAGGTGAAGAGGTGAGATTTCACCTCTTTTTTCACCTGTTTTTTCACAAGCGTTTTACATGAATTGTACGATGTATATTTGAAATCCTAAACAATTTCGTAGCTTCTATTTCTTCTTTTAGTACATTGAATGTTTTAATCATGCCGAAAGTCTCTTTATATTTCTTCTTGACGTCAGACAGAAGGAAATCTTCTGCTGTTGGATAGTTTTTATTAAGAAATGTCAACATATCCATTTTATCTTCTGCTGGCTTTTCTGCTTCTTTCTTTAAGTCTGCATAGTCGTTTCGCATTCTTTCTATCTCTTTGACTGAGTAGTTATATTTTCTTATTGCTGCTTTACATTTTGAACATTGCGGATTCATTTTTGCGTTATACATTGAAATAAAACCAGCTAAAACAACTAAAGCGTCAATTGCTCTCTTCATCTCAAACACAGCGGGTCTTATTTGTTCGTTCCATACTTTGCCTCTTCTATCTTTATCTCTTATCTGCCATACACATTTTGCAACTAATGAAACAAAGTTATCGTATGTCTTAAACTCCCCAGATTTATATATGTCAGAAATATTTTTATAAACCATGTCGCAATCTTTGTCCATAACTTTATGGTTGCAATGAAAACCAAGGAATTCATAATTTACTTTACGTATGAATTTCTTAATTTCTACTGAGTCAGTTGGTTTCACTTCTATTTCATCGAATTCATGAATAGTGAGCTTTTGTTGTTGGATTTCAGGCAATTTGGGTAAATGGTCAATAATGTCCTGCATGTCATAAAGATATTCTTCATTTTCTTCATCCTGTGCGGTACAGTCTAAATTACTTGTTAAAAGTTCTTGCTTTATCTTCTGGATTTCTGTTTCAAAAGTATATGAAGAAGGAATAAAGCTTTTCATCTCTACCAACATTGACGTAGGATTCATGACTAACGAGTTTGGTGCTGTTATTGTGCCGATTGTTGTTGTGCCGATTGTTGAAATCATATCTTTTATACAAAATAAAAAATAAATAAAAATAAAACTAACTTTATTTTTCTATCTTAAGGAAATTCATGAAAATTCACGAGGGTGAAAAAACAGGTGAAAAAAGATGTGAAATCTCACCTCTTCACCTAAAAATTATTTTTGCTGAATTCAGCAACAAAATGAAAAAGTTTAGAAGAATTTTCTTATTCTTTCTGGCATATTTTTGTCTTTCCAATACTCCCGCTCTAATGGTCCCAGATGTGTTGGCTTCGACTCTCTCAAGTTCTTAGATGGTATAACATCTTCAACGCCTCCTTCATATCTTACTTTATAAGTGTCATCGTTTATGTTATAGCCAAGTATTTCAATAACCACTCCTCGCTTTGCTTCGTCAATGGTTTCAGCAAGTTTGCCATTACTACTTTCAACTAATTTATGACGAGGATAAAACGCAATGGAGTCGTCAGCAGCTTTTATAAGATATCCATTACCTTGCGTAGAGTCTACGATATAATAATTTCGACTTAACCTTAAACGTTTCTTTGTCAACGGTTTGTCGTCAAGAACTACACGAACCTTTGTACCAGGAATGAAGGTAAATTGTGTTGAATTTCTGATATTTTGTGTTTGACTTCGTTTCTTTTGTATATACTTTTCTTCTTGTTGTTGTGTCATTGAATTTGGTGTATGTCCTGTTGTAGAATGTGTTGAGGAATTATATACTTCGAGAAAATTTTTCATTGTTTCTTCGGTAAAGTCTCGCTCTTGGTTTAAATCTCTGAGCGTTCTTATGAAGCGATTTATGATGCCGAGTATGTTATGGTTATGGTCTTCAGTAGTGTAGTGAGTTATGTTATGCTTAATGAGAAAATCTGTGATTTCATTGCTGAGGTAAGCACTGTCTTGGTCTGATGTTAAAGTACTTGGGCTATGTTCTGCTACAAACTTTTGTAAAACTCTTAACACTTCACGAGTTCCTTTATTCCTCATTGGATATGCATATGCTTTGCGAGTGTTAACATTAATGAATATGAGGAATGGTTTATGTCCTCCTTTTCTGCTTTGAATGAGAGTGTCAAATTGGTATGCGTCAGGAGCCTTGGAGTAAATTGGTAAAAAGTAGTCGTAAGGGTTTATTTTTGTTTGATGTACAACATTTTTGTCAAAGAACCTTTTAACTTCAGCTCTGTTAGTAAATCCCCAACTCTTTGCAGCTTCATTGAACTTCTTAAATGACCTCCATGGATGTTGTTCGAATACTTCTTTCAAGCTCATTTATGTAAAGTTAAAGATTTTATTCAAGACGGTAAGCCTTGACCCAAAGGGTCTAGGCTCAAGCGCGTTCATTGAACGCGGTACCATGCATAAACCGTCATAAATGGTGGCATATAATCTTCACCCGAGCCTGTTGGATTTGTTGTGAAAGTGTGTGAATGATTTCCTCCTGGTTCAGTTGGTCGAAAAGTCTTTTTTGCTGAATTGTTATAAGATGGAGATAAAACGTCATTGCCAGCTTTATAGTCTGAGTTGTATAATGGGTGGTCTCTTAATGAGTGGCTATGGTCGCCAGAAAAGTTTGTCGTTCCTGTATGAGTGTGCGCAGGTAAGTTTGCTTCTTTAATTTTCTTTGAGCCTCCTGTTTGCTTTGAAGAGTTAGCACAGTATAAGAATTTGTCTACAATCTGCTTCCACGTACCAAAACCTAAAACACTTGCCGGATTTGTTGAGTTCATTGACGTATAAATAGAGCCTATAGGATATATGGTTTCAAGAATCTGAGTCTTCATTGTTTGAAGTTCTGTTTTGTCGGCTTTCTTATCTAACATTGCTGGTAGTTCGTATGCTTCAAAGTTTCTGGCATGACCTTCAATGTTCATACATCTGTTATCTAAATTGTTTAGTGTATCTTTTACGCTTGTACTCGGATTCTCTAAAGGTGCACTTGAACCCAAATCATAGTTCAGTATTATGTCGTCTGCTCTAACAGTAGTGAAGGATTCATGTGTATGGTTCTTGTCAGCTTTACTATTTAATGTAGCTTGAAGTTCATTTATATCGGAGATATTGTGTTTATGAGATTTCAAAACTTTGTTCGTTGCGTCAAGTTCATCTTTGTCAGCTTTACTTTTAATAGCATCTTCAAAAGTTATTTTTGCCTTAACTCTCAAAGTAAATCTTGGTTCAACTAATACACCGTTAACAAAGAAGTATGAAGCATAAATTTCATTGTTATAACCAAATGCTTCTGGTGCTTTACCTGTGTCATACTGTACAGTACAGTGTATGTCATAACCTTTAGCACGAATGTATTTATATCTTCTTTCATTAACATCTTCAGTGCTTATTTGTTCATCCTGTGTTAAATATCCATGGTAGTCCGTTATAATCTGTTCGTCTGAACTTATATAATGAACATGGTTTTTATCTGCTTTTTCGGCTAATTTCTCTTCTATCTCATTTATTTCAAGTTCATGCCTACCACTACCTCCCGAAGAAGTATTTTTCTTCAGCTCTTGAAGAACGTCCACTTCGCCATCTTTGGTGTCAATAATGAGACTTTGAGTTAAAACCTTTCCTGTCTTAATGGATGTTTGTAAAACTTCTTCTTCACCGTGTTCGGGGTCATGGTCGTCATCATATCTTGTGAAATCAGAGATGTTGTCATACATTAAGCATATCTGTCTCAAAAGTTCTGCTATTTGAAACTGGAACGAAAGATATACAGAACTTTCATCATCTCCTAAAGTCAAGTCTGCTTTCTTAAGTATTTCTTGAATGTATGCAATGAGAACAGAGTACCTTGGAAAATATTCGAACAATATTTCATTAGCTGTTGGTTTTGGTGGTTCTTCTGGAGTTTCTGTTGTTTCAGTTCCTTCTGTAGGTTCTGTTGGAGTTTCTGCATCTCTTGACTTCAATGCTCTTGCTCTCAAAGACCTAAATGTTAGAGCACCAGGTTTTACAAAGGACTTTATAAATGCTTTAATAGTTCCTGGTAAGTTATTGTTAGCATTAAGTAAGTTCCTTATGCTTCCATCATGTACGTCCATAGCACTATGTAAAAAATCTATACTTTGCTTGTAGTCAGCAATAGACTGACTGTGATTTTTTAAAGATTTGTCAATACCTTTAAGCCAATCTTCATGCATGTCTGATACTGAGCCAAGAATATCATTTGCTTCCTTTAGTGTATTTTGTGCTTCTCGTAAAGTATCCAATTCCGTACGTGCATTGTTTGCTATATGTCTTACAGTATCTATTTGACTCCTTGTTTCTTGCATCCAACCAGATAAAGTTTTAATAGTATCCGAACCATTTGAAATGAAGTTCAAAGCATTTTTAACGTCATTTAAAACTTCTTCACCAAGTACCGCCCATATCTTTCCGATTTGGTATTGAAGAACTCCATATGAAGCAGCTGTTAAACCAGTATTTATAAGGTTCCATATCCATGATTTAGCAGTTTTTCCATCCTTTCCATCTTCACCATCCAAACCGTTTTCGCCTTGAGGTCCTTTATTCCTTGTATTCCTTGTGGTCCTTGAGCTCCAGTGTCACCCTTCTCTCCTTTCAGTTCATCTTTATGTTCGTTATAATATTCTAATGTCATAAGGTGTACATCATTACTGCTACCAGCAACGCCGAGAATTTGTTTCTCATTCATGACTAAATTCTTTAGGCATTTAATGTTGTCGTCAAATCGAAAGCTCTTTAACAATTCAATGAGAACATTTAATACTTTCACTAATGAGGCATCTACTGTAGAATTTATATATTGCACCGTTCCATCATTTATGATAGGAACTTTACTTATTGTAATGAATGGGTCATAAGTGTTAAAAGTATCGAAATCAATGACTTTTTTAGTTTTTCCATCGTCAATGACTAAATTGTTACCTTCCACTGTTAAAGTTGAGTTTTCATTTACTAGTTCATGTGCTCTTCTTGCTTCATTTGTTTCATACGCATATGCAGCAATAGTCATATTTTAATGAGAATAAAATGTTGTTCTATTTGCAAAGTACAGACCCGAATGAATACGGAATAGTAAAGCTACAAACAAACTTAGGGCTTCAGAATGAAGCACTTGCTTTCAGAGTTGTTGACTTCAATACTATCGCAACTTTTGTCATAACAGATGAAACAGATTTCATAGAGATTGAAATAGATGACAAAAGAAGTGTTGTAACATTTCCTAACAGAGCTGGGTATAGAATAGATAAAATTGCTGGAGTCATAGATACTCTCATAAATGAAGAAACTATTGACAACATAGATGTCGAACTCTCTTCTGAGGGAACATTGAAGTTCAGTTATGCGAAGGAGTTCAAGATAACACGAATGAGTCATAGAGTACAATTGCTTCTGGGAGCATACCATATGACATTTCCTTTGAAAAGTGTTGACAAAACGATTGAGATGAAATCTGTTCCATACGTATGTTATGGCAATTGTTTGTACATTGAGTCTAAAATAGCTAATGTCACAGGTATTTCAGGAGTTAATAGTAAAGGTTCAGTAGAATATAAGTCTTTCTGTTATGCAGTCAATTCAATGTTCATTCCAAACGTTCCTGTCATAGCAACTCATTTAGGTAAATGGGTTCGCATTAGTCCACATAATTTGAAAGACATGCAATTCAGACTTGTTGACTTTCAAGGAGAGCCTGTAGAACTGAAGGCACCAGTGCGAATGACTGTTGAAGTTGACTTTTTAGAAAATATTAAATGCAACAGCTTACAAGAGAACTCAGAGCTAAAAATATAAAGTATGAATGTTATGTATTAGGTCATGAACTTTGGTTGTTGCTGTTTGATGAAACAAATGAGTTAGTTATGTCAGTCAAGAGAACAGAAAAATATTGTGTTAGTGAAAACTGCACCAAGTCAATAAGATTAGGTTTGCATTATGAAGATGAGTTCGATACTGTTGAAGAAGTTTTGGATAGATATAGGGTGTCCAAAGGTGCGTTTAGCACAGCGCTCTATATGAGACTATTAAAGGAGATATATGCTGATTATAAATATATAATAAAAAATATGAATATATGTATATGATGAGTATGTTGTATTTTGGCGCCATGCCGGGATATAAAATGAATTTTGAGACAAGAGGCGGTTTCGCGGGAAATTTTGGCGGGATTTTTTTCATTTTTTTAATGAATCATAAAGAAAACATCCTCGCTCTTGCAAAAAAATGCAAAGACTGTAAAAAATCTACGAGACATTGGTAAAATGCTTCGGTATGGATTCTCCTAGCTATTCCACTGTAACGTATCATGTTAGGATGTATCACTTCATGAACAAAAAGGCGCCCATCATAAAAATTGACAAAAAATCGCCGGATCAAAGAAAAATCAAAGCAATTCTTCAAGCGCTAGATGAAGACCCAAGAGCATCACTCAGAAGGATAGAGGAGATGACAAAGATACCACGTACAACAGTCAGTTATTATCTGCACAATTATTTGAACTACAAACTAGCGTATACACGTTGGGTTCCGCACAACCTTAATTCAGTTCAAAAAAAATCTAGAGTCCAATCTTCGAAAGAGCTCCTCTCTATATTGGGTGCGTATCAATCCAAGAAGTTTCGCTTTTTAGTAACAGGGGACGAGTCTTGGTTTCAATATGCAACAGAAGCCAAAATCATGTGGATCCCGAAGGATGAAAATCCGCAAACATTCCCGAAGAAAAAAATTGACACACCAATGATAATGTTGTCGGTTTTTTGGGGCGTGAATGGCATCATCGCAATTGATATTCTTCAAAAACCTAATACGATGAATGCTCAATATCTAATTGACAATGTTCTTACTCAAATTATCAATTCTGATGAGTTTGAGAAATCCAAACAACAAAAACAAAAGTTTGCAATTCATTTTGATAATTCAAGAGTTCACAAAAGTCATAAGGTAATGAATTACTTGGTGGAAAACAATGTCAAAGTTGTTCCAAACCCAATTTATTCACCTGATATTGCACCCTCTGACTTTTATTTATTCGGCACGCTAAAAAAGAGAGCTGAAGGACGCGAATTCGCGAGTCCAGATGATCTCGAAAATTTTGTAAGAGAGCAATTTGAGCAATTTTCTCATGATGATTTAAAGCGTGTCTTTCAAGCCTGGATCGATCGCTGCGAACGCGTGATTGAATCCAATGGTGATTATATTTAAATAAACTTTATATATATGTAACTTGTTTATTTCTATTCGCAGTATTCAGGTTTGTGCTAAACACACCTTTGGACACCCTATATTACAAATTGCTAACTTGAAATTTTTTTTGACTGACGGCGCAAAGCGCCAAGACCGAAGGTCCTGACTGCTTTAATTTACTAAAACATATTTCAAGCAAAGTTTATATTCTGTTGAAAGTTCTTGCAATTGAACGTCTTGAATTAATCTTCCATTATTTTCTTTACATTTCTCACAATGCTTTAAAAATCTTCTTTGGTTTTTCCTTTCTGGATCATCACGGATAGAATAAACTTCTTCTTTACAAAATGGACAAACTTTATAGCCGGTGAGTGCTTCAACGTCTGTTATTCTGTCAGCGTGAAGTTTTCCACATGGACTCTGTGTTAATAAAATATTTACTGTTTCAAATTCTGGATCTATCATTATTGATTCCACTAATGGAAAGTCTACCTTATTTATGTCCACGTCTTCTGGTTGAGGATCACAATAATAGAAATCAATATTAACATTTAACATTCTCGCTAATCTCTCACTTTCTGATGAAATGTCAAACCCTTCATATGCATCTATTGCTTCATTTAAATAGCTTCTACGAGTTTTAGGATTAGCACCATCAGGAATGTTATAGAAGCGTTTAAATAACCTTCTACCTTCTGCTCTAATTTGATTATCATTCATTTTAGCTGTTCCGTTTTTGTTCATTTATGTAAGAATAAAAAATTAAAAAATAAATAAAAATAAAGTTTATTTTTTAAAGCCCATAAAATGAATTAAGAACACATAAATTTTTATCATCTGCGACGTGACGAATACATTTTAATTTACTCAAGAATGTGTACCCTGATACATTAAATCTAATTCCTGTCTTATTTAATTTCACAACTTTGAAAAGGAATGTATGAATAGCTATAAAATGATGAGAAGATGTTTTATGGGTTGCTTCCATTTTTTCTGAAATAAATGAATAAATATAATGTTTATAAGTTTTCATATCTTTTATGTTCTTAATAACGAATGGTATAGACCTTTCAACTTCGTCTTCCTTCGGTGCTGTTCTTTCATATGAAACATTATTGGTATCTTCAATAATGAAACCACAATCACACAAAATTTTATATGTTCCAATGGTTTCTTTTGATATTTTATCTAATAAATCAAAAACTTTATCAACACCTGTGCATTTATTTAAATAATAATTTGTGTAAATATCATGATCTTCTTTCTTAATTGTATTAGTTGCATATGTCACGTTTTTAAGAGCTTTTTTGAATTTCTCAGAATCGAGAGGGGGTGAAAGTAAGATACAAGGGTATTTTTCATTATCAATAAATTGTAACTTATGTTTACGAATAAATTTAGTACCTTCTTCTGAAAGTGTTTCGTCTATTTCACCATCTAATAAATTTTGTGTTGATTCTGAGACATAATTTTTATATCTTTCTTCATGAGATTTCTGAACTTCTGATTCCGAAGCTGGGATATTCATTAAACCCTCTACTTCATTTTCATTATATTTTTCAACTTCTCTTAATTCCTTAATTTTTTCATCTATTTCATCTCTTATTTTTTTCAGTCTTTCAATTTCGCTGTATTCATCATCTTTAATCCGTTCTTCATAATATTCAGGGAAAACATCAGGTTCTTTAGGTTTTTCTTCTTCAGATGTGGGATATAAGAAATTTATAACATCATCTTTATTCATTTTTCCATCATAATCTAAATCATTTAATAACTCCGCGAATTTTTTACAATTTCTTAAATAATATTTATCAACTTCATAACCCACCTCCTCTAATATATCCTTTATTTCCTCGTTTGTGAATCCTAATTTTTTAACGTTGTTAGTTTTGACGCTCATTTCATACAAAATAAAAAAATAAAATAATAAACATAACTAAATTTTAATTTTTCGTAAGAAGTTTATTTCTAATTTCTTTTACTCGTTTATGAGGTCTTTGATTATGACTCCATTGATTCCATTCAGGATTTAAACAATGTTTAATTAATCGCGGAATATCTGACATCATCTATATATATAGCTTCTTTTATAAAAGATGAAATAAATTATTTTTAAAAATAACTTTAATTTTTTTAATGATTTATAAATAAATATATTTTTTATTTCATTATGTATGGGCTGAGTGTAAATGTCTTACAATTTTGAAAATTTTTTAAATCTTGATTTATTCAAAAACGTAAGAATAAAAACCGTCAGAATCATACATTTTTTACTTCATATGTTAAAAAAATGATACAAAATCGCTCGATATTGTATGAATTCTTACGTTTACAAAAAAAGTCACAAAACCCTTCCACATATACTACTTCATAAATTCAAAACATTTTTTCATTCAAAACATATAAATTCTTAAGGAAATAGTCAGGAAATCATATAAAAGGAGATATTTCATTGATTTCTTAAAAGTTAAATGATTATCAGAATCAAATCAAACATTTCAAAGGCTTATATGATATTATATATCGTCTGTTTTTGATTTGCAATCGTAATATCATTGAATTTTTGTCAAATAATTTATAAATAAAAAAGTTTGAAATTGAGATTGAAACAAGAATTAAATAATGTTTCAAAAACTAATAGAAGTATAAATTGAATGGTGTTAAATAAAAACGATCACAATATTGATATAAGTTACGGTCTTTTTTTCGGATTCGCCTGATTTTGCTTAAATATGTTACTAGTTAATGGATAATATTGTTTAAAGGAGACTGTGACATGTGAAATCGAAGAAATATTATGATGGTTCCGAAAATCTGTTTCTATTGGCTTCATTGTATTATATATTGATCAAATCTTAGTGTTTAGAAAGATTCATCAAATGGGTGGTCTGATTTCTGTGATTAAATTTGACTTTTTTTAAAATAAAAAAACGACTTATAATACCTAGTAATATCTTGAACAAACATATCATTGGACTGTTGATATCTGAGAGTTTGCGTTGAAATTTAAATGATTAAATTTGTCAGATAGGAAATTTAGTTTGAAAAACAAGAGTTCTACGCTGTTAATAAATCATTATGTAACAATTGTGTATTTTTAGTGTAATATTGTTCCTACACTAAACCATTATTAAATTTGAAAAATAAAGCTGGAAATTGAAAATAAATCTTTCGCAATCCTATTAGAAGTTATTCTATTTGAAGAAAGAAAGTAATGCATTTGGTTGAAATCTGAATCGATGAATAAATTGCAGCGTCTTACTCGAGAATCAAATTTGAAAATACCCGAGATTTGAATTGAGTTATCAAACTCTCTCAAATTATTTGTTCGAGCAAATACATATAATGATGTAAATACAATATCCAGAATAATATATTAAACTCATTTTTGAATAGTTTACATTTTTTACCTGATGATCAATTTTCCGCTTAATATGCAATAAAAACAATAATAATTGATAATTCATCAATGATAGTCTCAATTTCTCACAAAAATCGAAATCGTTATTATGAATATAAAATTAATAAGTTTACATTACTTGCCATCTATCATGAGCACAATGACATCATCTTACCGCAAAGACGTTTCCGGCTGGAGCAACAAGGGCTTCTCCCCATCTTCTGATGAGCCAGCTCCAGTCAAGACACGTTCTCTTCTCACAAATCCACTTTGGAATACAACATATCGTAGAGATTATTGCTCAAGAGATCCAGCCACCATGAGGTCGGCTACATCATCCTTTCGCGCCACAGAATTAAAGGAAAGAACAATTACACGCTCCCTCGACCCTCCAACAACTAATATCAAGGTCTGGGAAACAACATATCAGAGAGATTTCTGCAGCCAGCACGGAGAAAATTGCAACTGTGAGCATTAAATTTATATTACAATCTCTACCCGATTTTTTTTTGAATAAAATATCCATTTGTAAAATTCTTTTCCATTTTAGATCTACAACAGCATTAATTAGCCCATTTACTCAAAATAAGTAAATACATCTCACTAATTAAGAGAAAATGTGAGTTAACAGAAAAAAAAATATTTCATAATTCTTAATAAATCACTTCAAGGGGCTATGAATATAAAATTAATGATATGCATCTAAAATATAATAATCTAAGTCTATAAAGTTTGATTAAAGAACAAAGTTTCAAAATGCAACATTACTTTAAGTATATATATCAGAATTGAATTATGAAAAAACTGAAGCAGGTGAAGTAATACTAGTAAACGATTGAGATCAATTGAATTCTTTTTAGGATTAGATCATTACAAAAAAATTCGAGTCTAACAAGCACAATTTTATGATTAGAATTCGGCGAACTCGAACTGTCTTCCAAAAGGCACCAATACTTACCCGTATTTGAAGCTAGTCGACTCTCACAAAGATGAATCTGAATAAGACGTATATGCATATAATATGTCATACATATAAAAAGCTTAACTTATGAATTTCAATGATTTATCACTATTATTAAATAAAATATAATTTGGATATAACAAAATTTGAGTAATTTCGGTGTTTTTCATGTATGAAATTGTGGTATTTGATTTTTATTGTCATGGATGAAAGCTTTATATGCTATTAAATGCATTAAATATTATGAAAATGCATCAATTAATTTTTTGGAAGCATAACAGTCTAGTTTTTTTTGAGTTATTTCTTTTTGGGTAGTGTTAAATGTCATGGTTTCATAATTATATATGATCATTAAATTTTCATTATCGGAATCCTCTCAATTCACAACTCTGCCAAAAAAAAATGAATAAAGCTCTTTTCTTGAAACATCTTGCAAATCCAGACTTTTGTTTTGCCAAGAGTAATTTCAAGGCTTGTTCGCCAAGCTCAAAAATTCTCACTCCTGACAACTATTCTCAATGGGCTGGTTTTGTAAATCCATATCTTGATACAGTCACAATCTATTATGCGGATGACACGATCGATTCAAACAACAAGCAGCTTTACTTGAATCTTACAGGTCTTCCAGATATTTCAGAACTCATTTTAAGTTCAGAAAACTCATATAAACATGTCTCTCTCGAATCATCACAATTAACACAAGCCTCATTAAAGATAACACTTAACTCCGTCAGTCTCTACTCAGATCAAGCAATAATCAAAGGAAATAAATTACAATTGATTTCCTGCAAGGCAGAAGACAAATATCGTTTTAGTCTGAAGTACTTATACATTGATGATGCATCTCTTCTCAATTTTGATGCAAGTATCGACTGTTCAACAACATATCTTGAATTGACAAACAAAAACTCAGTTGTTAAGGCTAATTTCGTACATGCTGGAACATCATATGTTAAGTTTACTGGAATCCAAGATGATGGAACTGTTAAATTCGAGAATAATTTGATAGAAATCGAAACATCGAAATTACAATCACAGTTCAAATTCGATAACTCTCAGACAAACGTAGAATTCATTTTTGCCGATTCTGTTAAGAAATTCTCAGTCTACAACATGTATGAAAGCGAAAATTCCTTATTTGCACATACAACATTCAACGGACGTTCCGACTTAGTTCTTGACACTCCAATCAATATCGGAAGCTCATTACCAGGCCCAATTGTCAATACCGAAAAAGGATATAATTTATATCTCGGAACACACATGGCTGGCTACAGATTACAGACCGGATTCGCAAATACCGACGCCAAAGGTATTATTAATGCTGATGCAAACAAGTCTTTCATCATTCCAACAGTCCCAATTTTACCAGAAACAACAATTACAGGAAAATCACTTTATACAGGTGAAATAGTCACTTCACCTTTGTCCTGTAAACTTACAGCCGATGTTGAGCAATTTTACGCAGATTTAATGACAAATAACGGAGATGAAGTTTCTCTTGAAGGAAAAGCCATCTACAGGATCAAACATATCATGGGTAACAATGCCAACATTAAAATCGACAAATTGGGCAATTTGGACACTTGTGGAAATGTCAGAACAAAATTATCGTTCAATTCACTTGAAAATGGAAGAATCAAGTACCACTTCCACACAGAAAACATCAAGGAAGGTACTTTCAATGTTATCTCTGGTTCTGGAATCGATTGCGAAAATTCGAAATTTATTTACGATGAATTACCATATAAAGACTTCGATGCCAAGATAACATGCAGTAAGGATACAGGCGTTACTGTTACAGTCACAAAACTCGATTCCTACAAGTTTTGTCTGACGAATTTATCAAATAAGTGTCCATCAGGCTACCAAATGATCTCTAACACTGAGAACCTTGATCAGCTGATGACATCCAACTACGCGAAGATATTTGTCTTCACGGATAATCAACAATACCACTTCCCAATCAAGATTTCAAGAAATGACAAAGTAAAGATCGAATTCATCACAGAAAACAAAGATGTATACGCGGATATCGCTGATGAATCATTATCTACACCTCTTGTCATTAAATCTACAGGAGTTAACTTGAATTACCAAGGAAATTCCAAATCTTGCAACATTTTATCGATGGATGTTTCTTCTGCCACCGTCATTGGATTGTACAACCTAGATGTGGCTGATCAACAGCAATCTTGGACTGTTGACTTCGATAATTCTTATCCTTATTCAAAGAAAGACAAAAGAACCCTCAAAATCAGATCGGACCTCTACACATTCAATGTAAAGGCTGATCTCCAGTCAGATTACTTGATTTTCCCTAATAACGACGTCAAAATCGAATCTGAAAAAATTATTACAGTCGAATCCTCCAGAACTGTAAATTACAAAGGCCCTGATATCGTTTTAGCAGGAAACATTTATTCTGCCGACTTGACATTAACAAATTCCCAGATAAATCCAATTTCTCAGACTCCGAAAATTTTGTCTCTCAAATTTAACGGTTTAATTCAATCTTTAACCGTTTCTGAAAATTCGAAATTAATTTTAGAGGGAACATCATCAAGTGCATCGATCAAACAACTTACTATGAGTCCATCTTCATCATTTGAGATCAAAAACAATTTTGAAATTGAAGAATTAGTTATTTCATCGAATTCCAACATTTCTCTTCCATCAAATCTTGTTTGCAAGAGACTAACAATGAGAGAAGGATCAGTTGCTTTAGTTAACAATAACTTACACCTATCAGAACTTTCGCAAGATGTTGTTCCGTCACTTTTATCTTTAGTTATCGTAAAAAGTGACAGTTTACAAATTGATTCAATTTCGATTGCCATGATGGTTGACAAAGATGATGTTGCACCACATAAATATTATGAGTTACCTGATCTCATGATTATTAGTGGAAAGAATTCCATTGGAAAATACAAAGTTAATGCTGTAAATCCATATTACAACACCCCAGAAGGAGTTTTATCTGTTGTTTCATCGAGTTCTGGAGCTTTCTTGGGCCACAGAGACCAGCCAACTTATTCCCCAACAACACAAGTCCCACCAACATACTCTCCAACAGTAGTTCCTCCAACTTCATCTCCAACTTCAGATGAAAGTAACTCCAGAAAGAAAGATTTAGTTTTCTCTGCAATTTTCTCACTCAGCGGTGTTGTAGTGTTGGTTGTAGTCGTATTGTTGTTGTACTTCATCGCAATAAGACCATGTAAAGCTAAGATAGATAACAACCCACTTCTCAGCGTTCAAAACATGATTTAAATTTGAGTAAAACTAAGTTTTTTATATTTTTTTTACAAAAAATTTAGTGATGCCGATTTGGAAGTTAATTTCAATTTCGAAGGTAAAACGTCATTAACTTTGTTCCGAAAGAAGTTATTTTAACTCATTCAATAGTACCTTATATTACTGTTATACTTTTTTGCAATCACAATAACGATATATTGATATTATGGGAGCATGTCTAAAAGTGGTAAGTGCACCCTTAAATAAAACATTAATGAAATTGTATCATATTCCAAAGAAATCTCAGTTAAAATACTCGTCAATTTGTTTTTTAAAAACAAAAGTAAAATTTAAATGTTTAATGAATAAATCAGAAATAGAATTCCTCGCAAAACTCATCATACATTTGCTTGAGTTCTTTGTAGCATTTATGGTATTCTTCCATGATTCTCTTAATTTTGTTTTCTTTCTCAGATATTCAGATACTTGATTCACGAGATCATCATAGTTCTTTTTAATCTGTTCGTTCCTATCTCTCTCTTCCATATTGTGTTGTATCAATCTCACTGTTTCTTCGCTTTCTTCATTAACATTTGTTCCTCTAAACACTTGTTCATCTCCTGACTCTGAGTCAATCCTCTTGTAGATGACTTCCAAACACATGTTTTCATTGACAGCAATTACTAGTTGGAATCTCAATGATTTTGGTTTGGAATTTTCTGGAATTTTCACTGGATATCTTCCAACTAATTTACAATGCTGCCAATAATTTGATTCTCCTTGATATACTTCAAGAACAAGGCTTTTTCCGGTGTTCGTGTATGTTTTAACTTCAGAACGACATGGAAGAGGAGTATTTTTAGTTAATAACTTCGGAACATTGCCATTTTTGACTACAAAGCCAAGGAAAGCACTGAAAACATTATGAAGAACAACAACATCTTCATCATCTTTTGGTTTTTCGTCACTTTTCGGTTTTTGATCTGAATTTTCTGTTGGATCAAAAACTGTATCATTCATAATAACATCGATGTATGGATATGCTGGAGGTGTTGGTTGCTGCAAACGAGTGTAATGATAAAAGGCAGCTCCTTCTGCAACGGCTGTAAGGCATGGAATGTTCTGTATCACTTTAAGTTTATCTTCTCCTGTGCCTGAATTCGCAAATATTTTAAGACTTCGGCTGAAACTTCAAGAGGTTTAACTATAGTTTCTGTATCTTCGTATTCTAATACAATATCGATGTCATTATCAGCGGATTTTTTAATGCCAAATGGCCAATTAAAATTTTGTTGTTCAATTTCATTGAATGTCTGCCCGATCATACGCTTGGAGTCAAATGCAACAGCTTTTGGATGCATTTCTAGCTGCTTTTTGGCAGTACTACCATATTCTCGAGTGGATCCGAAAAATACACAAGAAGGAATTGATTGGTCAGCACCAATTTGAAGAACTTCAGTAGTCTTTTTATCTGGATTATAAATAGCTATAGAAGAATATGTTGTACCAAGATCAATACCAACAAAAGGAGTATCCATGAAAAAAAAATTGGTGGAAAAAAGTTTATGAAATTTTTATGGCGAAAATTGAAAAAAAATATGTATATATTCATGTATTAAGATCCTAAATAAATTCAATGTGAAGTCGCAAATAGTCGAAATTTTCAGAAGAAAATTGAAACTTTGATAAGTTACACTTTTTTAAAATTATATTATCAGAAGGGATTGTGAGAACAGATTTATTGTTTTAGGGGCTTCGTCCAATGGGAGGATGCAAGTAAAATCTCGTTTTGATAAAAGCTTTGCTTTAATCAAGTTCAGGATTTCTTATTCTGAGATCTCGGTTCGATTCCGGGAGTTCCTAATTTTTTTCTTTTCCATTTTTTTTCCCTGATCAATGAAATTTATAAGATTATACTGATTGCCCAATAATAAATATGATTTATTAAGAATGAATATATATATATATATCAATACAAATTTCGAGTGAAATCAATGATTATATTGTTACAGGATTAGAACAGAATGAAATACAATTAATAAATCATGCTTGGTCTAAGGTTGTTTCCTTTCATATTGCCATGACGATTACTTTCAATTCTATTTTGCATGATTTTACAAAAATATCGCTTGATATTATTTGCCAATGATTAATTCAATGCCAAGTAATTTCTCTCAATTATATTTGAGCACAAATTGAGATACTATAGAAACATTCTATAGTGGTCTCAAAAATAGATTTCAAAACCTATTCAAATAATTTGAGAACCTAATTATAAAAATATTATATGTTAATAACACAATAATATTTTCAAGAAAAATTTTAAGGGTCCACTGTAAAAATTGAAAGTCTCTCAAAATTGAGAGGTGATTTGCAAATAATCGTTATCGTCTTTTTTCGAAAATCCGCTTTTCCTAGTGTTCTGATTAATATTTTGTGAATGTAACAATAAAGTATATGTTTTAGTAAGATGATAATACATTCTATCACTTCAAATCACATAAAAATTGCAAAATCAGCGAGTTTTATAAGAACATGATTTTTTCGAATTTTTTCGCTTCTGGATGCGTGTTTTGAAAAATAGATATTTTCGAATTTTGATTTTAACTTAAGTATAAATTTTATATTAGGGATTTTTTTGACCTATTTTCAATCATTAATTCCTAAGTTTTTCTAGGAATTTAATTGAGAAGAAATTAGGAAATTCGCTTTAATGCCATTACATCCTAATATTGTGATGTATGTAGTTTATATTTATTGAGGCTAATGCCGGAATATCGTGCATTTTATAAAAAATTCAAAGAATTGACAATTGGATAGCACAAATTTAATTCTCTAGACAAAGTATTATTGTTTATATATTCAAAGCATTATCCTTCGTTTTGAAATGTTGGCCAAAAATTTTCGTGTTATTTTTTGTGTTTCAGCATAAATTATGTATTGACTTATGAAAGATAAGCATTTTATTCATTATCATAAAGATATACCAAAACAAATTGATAAAATTTAAAAAAATGTGTATTTTAGTGGGTATTATTCTGGCCAATGCCCATTTTTAAACGATTTAATATTGACCATATCAATAGCCGACTCAATGTAAAAATTTAGATATTATTTTTTTCATTATTCAAACTTTGATAAATTTTAGTATAATGAATGATTTTGTTTCGTGTATGATACAGAAATGAAAAGCTTGATTAATATCATTTTGCATTTTTTCAAGAATGTTAGAGTACATCTACATTAAAAAATCGGATTCGAATTGCGATACTGCATCAAATTGTTGCACATCTGATAAGGATCTCAAAAGAGTAAAGTTAATTTTTTTGTGTTTTTTTAAGTTTTGGGCCTTAGTAAAAACGCCATCTTGAGCAATATTTTTGGGACGACGATAGGCCTTATTTGGCCTTACAGTAGACACTTAAAAATAAAAATTCTCTGAAATTTTAGAATCTATACTTATACAATGTACTTATGTTAATTCTAGAAAAAAACTTAGAATGGTTTGGTTAGATATTAAGTTTTTTAGATTAATATTTTAACATTTTGATAAAACAAGCATTTGTTCCATTTTAGAATCGCCATTGAACTCTAGTTTGACTAATATGATGTTGTATGATCAAATAAATTCTAACTTCATGAGATAAATTTTGAAATTAGAAAATGCGATATCTGACTCAAATATTTATCTGAACACATTTAACATTCAATGATAAACTAAAGTACTATACAGCAGATTCGATTTGGCTTATATTTTATATAATCAACAAATAATCCTATAAAATTGTGCTATTCACGTTGCTCAAAGATGTATTGAACATTCCCTACTTGTGTATTGATAAAATTAGATATAGATTCTAATGTAAATCGATATTTTGAAAATTCATATATATTTTGTCTTGGTTTGGCATTTGATCGTGTTGAAACCGGAATTGCAATATATATCATCTAAATATATAACTATCAAAATATGAGCTATAGATTTTTAAATTATTCTCCTGAATATGAGTGACTAACATAATTATATTGAATTGAGTAGTAAGAATCATAAATATTAGAATCTGACGATAATTTATTATAACTTTATATAGGAACAAGATTATAAATGATGATGAAAATAAAGATTAAATTTAAATCTGAAAATTTGAAAACATTAAGTGTATATGATAGCATTACAAAATTAAATTTTATGTGGAAGAGGAAATAGAGGAATTAGAAGTATTATGAGAAAATAATAAGATATAAAAACAAGATTCTATTAAATGAGTTAATTTATAGAAAGGAATAACAGTGTGAATGTAGTAAATGAATGTTTTCATGATGTATTATTGAAATCTTAAGTTTTGTTAAGAAGATAATAAGGGAATCAAATTTTGTATTAGGAAGTTTGACCGACAAGAGTGTATTGTGCACTCTTGTCGGTCTGCATGTCTCATTCCGGGAGACATTGTCACTGCATGTCTCCCAGAATGAGACAATCTTCCGCATTCATAACTTGAATGCGGAAGTTTGACCGACAAGAGTGTATTGTGCACTCTTGTCGGTCTGCATGTCTCATTCCGGGAGACATTGTCACTGCATGTCTCCCAGAATGAGACAATCTTCTGCAATCAGAATGTGGTTGCAAAACTTTGACCGACAAGAGTGCACAATACACTCTTGTCGGTCTGCATGTCTCATTCCTGGAGACATTGCCACTGCATGTCTCCCAGAATGAGACAATTTGTTGCAATCAGAATGTGATTGCAAAAGTTTGACCGACAAGAGTATATTATGCACTCTTGTCGGTCTGCATGTCTCATTCCGGGAGACATTGTCACTGCATGTCTCCCAGAATGAGACAATCTTCCGCATTCATAACTTGAATGCGGAAGTTTGACCGACAAGAGTGTATTGTGCACTCTTGTCGGTCTAAATGTATCTTACAATCAAAGACACTTTCATACAATCTTTTCGAAGTTAAAAAAAAATTTAATTCGTTTAGAATATGAATTAAAAATTTGTAACTCAGTTTTGTTATTATGGAATCACCTTGTTCGAACTCTAAGATTTACCCTTGTGATAAGTTCAAACTATACATTGATCAATTGCCAGAATTGTTAGAAAGTTCTAAGGAACTTCAAAGAAAAATTGTTCTAGTAAATGAAAACGACATGCAAACGCAAAGTACTAAATTAAGCAGTGATGATGAAAGACTTCTAACAGATATCAGAGAAAAATATAAATTTTGCGATTTATATTTCAAAAAATACAATAACACGCGATTAACATCAGAAGGATTGTATCAACTTAATGAGTTGAAAGATATACTAGAATCATTGCAGTCTAACAATTCGAACGCAGAACAAATAAATATTTATAAAGTTCAGAATTCATCAACAAATTCGAGATGTCATCCCTTCAAGCTTATGGATAAAATAAGATCATGTCTCAAAAGCAATGAAGATGTCATAAGCTTTTTTGATAAAGTAGTATACCCAAAGTTCATGGAAACATATCAGGGCGAAATGGCACCATGTCCTGCGAAGGTAATACTAGATTTTATGGATTATATCGTTCCAACATTTTTCGGAAAGTTAGTTGGAAATCCTATTCAATTCAAAGTCGAATCATCTGAACTCTTCGCAAGCAAATCTGAGTTCCTCATTTCAAGAACGATGCCAGATGAAATGAGGAAAGATTGTCTCTCCGTATTAAGGACAGTCATGGACTTTAGTTTTAGTGAACAAATCGAAGATCGATATGGAGTCAATCAAGAATTCTTGACTCGGAAAGCTAAACAATATTTGTGGGGTTCACGGAAGCTTTTACAGGATCAAGCAATCGAACAGATTCCAGAATTCGCAGAGCATCTCCGCACAGGAGTGAAATCGTATGACTTCGAGAATCTCGAGATCGAATTCTGTGATAACTACAAAGCGACTGTCGAACCAAAAGTGAACGGCGTCGAATTTGGAGAGATATTATCATTGAAGAAAGGAGAAGAAACAGTCGTAAGATATTTCATCAAAGCTTTCTCTGGTTATCCAATCAAGAATCATCGTCAAGGATCAAAAGATATTTGGTCATCAGAGATGATATCTGATTGTGATGATGATCCTTTTCCTCCTTTCCACTATCGTCATCCGAACTTAAGAGATCCTTTTGTATACAAAATCCTCGAAAGTCTTGGTGTTGGTCCACATGTAGAAATCATCATAAATCCATACATCTCATGCGGATTTTATATTGCTACACGAGATTTAACATATGGAAACCAAACATTTATCGAACTTGGAAGTACTAAAACTCGTGCAGATTTGGATTGGTTCATGAAGAATCAACTTCTACTTTTTCCAAATCAATATGGCCATATTAAAGAAAATCTTACGACACTTGATGTTATTGAAAGAATATTATGTTTAGCAGATTTACATAAGCATAATGTGGGACTTTTGTTGATGGGATCTGACAAATATCGTTTGGTAGATTTTGTCAATAATGTTCCTATTTTAAATCCACAAATTATCGATTTTAAAGTTTATAGAATGAAAGAATGGCAAAGAGAGTATCTTGGAAGACAGTTTAGAGATGGAGATAATCATGGTGAATATAAGGAACCATGCATAATACCAAAGTTGATCCAGTTCAGACCACACGAAGAGAAGTTCTATATGGGTTTCAAAGCAATAAAAAACATTCAAGAGATATTAGGAAAGTTGATTCCAATCGAAAATCCACATGATTCTCAAGATGTTGATGAAATACAACTCAAGGAGTTGTTGAAACAGAAATTTTCAGAAATCAAAACATTGCTTCTTCAACGGAGAGATGATTTGCCTGTTCTTGGTAATAGAACTAATGCAGAGCTTATTGGATACAAGTTCAAAATTTGTGAAGAAGATCAAAAGAAAGAAGGAAAGTATCGCAAATATGTCGAGGATTCATTAGAAGATCTTGATGATTACTGCAAAGATGTAATTATTAACTATCACATCCTTAAAAACTATATCCTTGACAAATATCATGAGTATTATGATGAAGATGGAAAACTCAAGAAACAAAATACTTAATTTATATCAAAACTTTGTAAAAATGTAATTCATCAAATTCTGTATTCTGTATATTTTTTTTAGATTTCTCCAAAATAATTTACTATTCTACTCCTTTATCTCAATCTAATCATCTAATTGGTTGGCACTGCATGAAAAAATTATAAAGAGTAATATTTTTGTATAAATAGCTGAATTTATAATTGGTTAGTCCTAAAAATTAAAAAAAAAATCTCAAATATCTAGTTAAGTATGCCAACAGCTATATTTGAATTGATAATTCATTTTAAAGATTTATAATAGTTTATGTTTAACAGCTTAACAACATCATCCAAACAGATATTTCAAATGGAGCAGATATCAATACTAACACAAAAGATGGATGGACCCCTCTTCATTATTCAGCCAGGAATAATAGCAAAGAAACAGTCGAAATTTTTATTTCAAATGGATCAGATATCAATGCAAGCAAGAGATTTAATAAGAATAAATTGAAATAAATAGTAAAAAATGTTTTGAATGGAAATCCAAATTATTCTGCATGAATTCTTTTTCAGAAGATTATTATATCTTTTTTGAAGATGCAGTTGTTTGATTAATGATTTTCTAATTCAGAAATGAGCATCCAGTTATCAGGAACAGAACCAATTATAAAATTTACTTTTCTGGTTTACTTACTCTTAATATATTATTAATAATATAAATCTTTTATTTATAATCAATCAAACTAAATGCAAGTATTTTTATTTCAAAGAGTGTGATACACAATCTTGATGTTTCTCTTTATTTTTGTGATACCTATTATAACCTTCAGTGATGAAATTCTTAATAATTTCATAGTTTTGAGCGATTTCATCGCGGTATTTGTAAAGCTCATTCAATGCTTTGCGATAATTTTCTTCAGTGAATCCAATTAATTCCCAATTGCTTCTGTTCCTGATAACTGGATGCTCATTTCTGATGTTAAACATTGCTTCTATTTTTTGTGCTTCATTATTCAATAACTCTCTGAATTTGATTACATCAGTATCATCTGAACATCCTACATTAAGACCAAGGCATGTCTGAATATCTTTGAGAGCATTAAATGTAAGCAAATATTTATCCTTTTCTGTCTTATTTTGGAGAGAATCAACAAAAATAAAAGATGTGTAATTGCTGAGGGAACTTATTCCATCCATAAAATTCTCCCTAAGATCTTCATCGAATTTCTCTTTCTTTGAACCAATACCGAAATCAATAATGTAAGGATCTAATTCTGAAATATTAGTATCATTATTTATTTCCGGACATCCATTTTTTCACAAATCCGATATTATCATCGTTCATATCGGATAGCAACATGATACGTATAATAATATCAACTTTTGTAATCTTTTGATATAAATTTTGCTTGTCTTTTGATTGTTCAAAAATTGAATTGTATTTTTTTAAATTCGAAAACATTATAAAGCTGTTATTATCTTTGCTTAAGCCTTCAGTGGCGATATAAAATCCGCGAGAAATAAAAGGATTGATAATAAAATGTGAAAATGGGCCTATTCCAAAGTGTTCAAGAATTTTATAAGCAAAAGGTTCCGCCAGATAAGGAAGAGAATATGAATCAAGAAAAGTAGTAGTTTTGATTGCTTCTTCTGTTTTGATTTCTGTTGAGTTTTCTTTTTGTTTCTTAATTGGATATTGTTCATATCCTTTAATAAAATATTGTTCAGTTAAGTTTTCACATTCATTTAATAATGAAAGAACAATTCCAAATGCATCACCATTCTTTTTGCTTGAAGCTATTGCCTTGTAGTTATCTTTGAATAAAATTTCAAGATTATTGGTATTAATTGATGAGATCCCTTCGCGCAGATGTTTCTCAAAAGGAGGTATTTGCTCAATTGCTTGATCTTCCAAAAATTTTCTTGAATTCCAATATTGTTTAATGATTCTTGATGATAATTGAGCCGGGCTTATTCCAAACTTATCATTATCTTTTCCTTCATATACAAAATCTACTGATGCTCTTATAATGACAAGAACATCATTTCTGATATCATCATTATTTGCTCTGGAAATTAATAGTTGAGGACACTCACAAATATAGGTTAGTTCTTCGTCTAATAACCGTAAGTTGTTACCCATAAATAAGGAGTAAAATTGTTTAATAAATTGTGTCATTTTACTATTGTATGAATCTGCATTCGTAGGAGGTTGTTTCATTCCTTTTTGAAAATCTTCCAATTTTGATTTTAATACACCATTTGGTTGTATTACTTCAATTGATCTAAGTATCAAGTCATTCAGAGATAAATTCATTTTTCGAATTTCTTCAATATGCGTAAATTGTTTGGCTGGCGAATTTTGAACTAATCTAACATCTTTTGGGGTATCTTCAGAAGAATATTGTTTTAATTTATCAAATACTGGACCTAATTTTTTATGATTTTCAATTAATACTTCATATTTGTGAGCTTTTAACTTGTCAAGTGCACCAATTATTTTGTTTCCTCTGTTATATTGTTCACGGATATTTACTATTTGTGAGATTAGATCATCTTTTGGATATTCAGGATCAGGAGATTGAATAAATGTTAGAATGGTGTTAGCATAATTCACTAGATCTGGTAAATAAACCTCGTAATCTTCAATTGTTGTAATTGGTATTGGTTCGTTCGACATTAAAAATTTTGTAATATGGCATAAATATAATATAATTAATCATTCAACGACTATAAAATCGATATTTCTATCTTTTAATATATTAAACTTCTGAAATATAACTTTACAATTCTAAAGGGAAACAAAATTGTGAGATAAAACAAAACATATTAAACAAAAAAAATCGGTTTGCATTCAATTTTAAATATACATTCCTGACGGAAATAATAATTATCTAATATTATACCATCATATCAATGATGTATTTGCGAAAGGAAAAAACTTTTGTTATGAAAATTTTCATGTATATTATTTAATTTCTTTATGTTTAATACATATTAAGACTAGATGAGGGTTTTGTGAATTAAATTTTGAATGAATATAAAATTAATTTGATTATAGGAAAAGTGATGCAACTCATTTATATCAAATCACAAATAATAAAAGCAATGAAATTAATATTTTTTTTTCAACGAGTGAATTAAATTTTTTTATAAACAAATGAGTACACAAACAATATCAATAGGGCTTTAAAACATTTGTAGTAATAAATAAATATGAAACTCGTCCATGTATGCTTTTTCAGAATGGAGTTTTAGAAAATCAAAATTTTAAATATTTCCAGTATAGATGTTAATCTGAATAAACCAAAATTTCGAATATGGGACTTTTTTTGGAATTGGTATAACCGAGTTTATCAATATTGCCGATATAGGGTCGAAAAGTGACAATAGAAGAATTAACTATGAATCAGGAATCGGTTTGAATTTGGAAATATGTATAGTGTTTGCTTTATCCGAATCAAAAATTCTTGTCAATAATTAAGAATTGAAAGATAGATTTGTCATCAGAATTAAATTGATGCTTCTGGAATAGGAATTAAGATGATAGAAAATATTGTTGAAGTTAGATATGTAAGATATATTGCTGATATATATAAATAAAAGATATAAAGTTGTAGAAGTCACTCAGAAAAATCAGAACGATTTTTTTATTATAATTTTGGCATAGAAAAGTGACAAAATTTACACTTTTCCGACGTTTTGTCAGGGGCGTGAAGCGACCCAAAAATGTCGGAAAAGTGTAATTCTCATATATATGATTATTTTTGCTTTTAATGCCGAACAGCATTTGAATCAAAAATAATCGTATGTCCGAGAATTATTATTTTCGTCGAGCATCATAATTATTGAATTATAACTCTATTTCCATTAATCTAAGTGCAACATTCTCATACACAACATTATTTAATAGCTCCTCATGCATAATATTATTCGATATTTAACTTCAAAATATTTGATTTTTTGCGTATTTTGAGTCAATTTTTTAGCGAAGTCAAAATCATAAACTCAAACTATTCAATTTATTTTCACCAAAAATTCCTAATAGACACATTGCAACTCAAGTATGTATCATTACAATGCAATCTCATTAATTTATCTTTTTAGAATGACGTGAAAATAAAAAATCATCATTGTCACTTTTCCGAACGAAAATTATATTTTTTTCACATTTTCTTCAAGCTGTGCTCACTAAAAGTGTGATTTTATATGAACGTATATGCTTTACTATATGTGTTATATGTATATGTTATATAAAAGTATGTTTTTATTATATGCATCTTATATATACCTTATATAAATCATCATAGTAATATAACCATGTAGTACATATCTAGAATTTAATGTCATTTTTTGTCATATTCGCGAGTAAATATTCATTCTTATTATTAAGAAAAATATGTGTGATTTTATTATATTCTAATTCCAAATTCCACATTCCAATTTCGAATTTACTAGCAAACAATATTCTCATTCAATTATTCCTTTATTGTCACTTTTCGACCATATATCGGCAATATTGATAAACTCGGTTATACCAATTCCTAAAAAGTCTCATATTCGAAATTCTGGTTTATTCAGATTAACACCTACTGTGGATTTTCTAAAACTCCAGTATATGCAGTCTGACGGTTTCTCGCGTGTTAAGAACTGGCTCGTTTCACAATATTATTTTGCGTTTTTTTTCCGTTGTATCACTTTTATTATCTTTAGATCCTCCAAGATTTAAACATGGAAAAATTTAGCAGCCCTAACGTGATATCATTCAAATCTTCTTAATTTCGGTTTCAAAAAATCGAATAATATTATACTCATGAATTATCAATTAATTGAATTTATATGTCATTAATTAGTGTATAAAATAACTTGATTAAGCCAACAGCTACATAACAGTTTTGTCAGATTTTCAATATACATCAATTAACCACAGTTTGTAAATAATTTGTATTATATTAATGTATGTCCATGATGAATGATTTTCTAAAAGTTTTGCTTTCAAATATAAGATTTCATGTCATTTGATACTAATTCATCGATTAAAATGCAAATAAATTCTTTATAAAGAAATAACTGATTTAGTACCAAGGATCTGAATATGAAATACCAAAGTAATATTCATTTTTCTACAAATATTCCTTCAATTTTGAAATTTCCAAAGTAATTGCTGCAAATCGACTGGTTACTGTTTTCAAATTCGGAATACATCAATTATTAAATACATATGGATGATATACATATGAAGTATAATATTTTTTTTTTTGATAATATCTCCAAATCGATTCATTCTTTCAATGAAGATAAGATATGACTTTTCATTGATAATTTTTTTAATAAAAGTAAATGGAAGAGCCTTCATAACTTGAATGCGGAAGTTTGACCGACAAGAGTGCATTATGCACTCCTGTCGGTCTGCATGTGTCATTCTGGGAGACATTGCCTCTGCATGCCTCCCAGAATGAGACTCTCTGTTTAATTCTTTTCGAAAAATTCGATAAAAAATTTTAACAATGTTTTGTTTTTCTGTTTTATTAGCATTAATAAAGTCAGAAGTTAGTTCAATGCCAATAAACAACTTCTACGGTTCAATTTATTGCACTAACACAACAATCAAAGACGTTGAATTCAGACCAACTCTTGCAAACAAAAATCAATCATTTCGTCAAGACATTTCGAAAATTCCATTAACACGATTAGAATATACAAACGATACACTTCTAGATTACGATCCAGTTAACGAAAACTTTGATTATTTAAACCTTCAATTTTCAGACACAGTTCTTTTCAATCCTGTCGAGATGCGAAACTTTGAAATTGACACATATTCACCGACAAACTATACACTTCATATTGAAAACGTTCTCGAAAAGGAATCTATCAAGATTTCAAACATTTTTACAAATTGTCCCTTTATCTTCATTGAAAAAACGAAATCAAGTACAATCAAACCAAGCGAAATATTTTCATTTACATTTAGTATCCTTTGTTCACGAGAAGGCCATTTTTCAGGAATCATTTTTGTTGTTTCCGATCATGGAACATTTCCATATTACATTGACTTCATTTGCAACCTTGTTCCAGTTATTCATACCGAATCACAACACATTTATCAGGAAATCAATCAACCTTTCACATTTCGATTAAATTACACAGGAACAATCGAAACATCACTTATTTACGATTCTAGTATCTTTGATCCATCACAAACAACTGTTTCATTTACATCAATTCTTTTACATCCTAATCAATTAAAATTTGGAACATATTTAACATTTCTTTTCATTAAATCATATACATTCACATGCATTGTTCCAATCTATCTTCATATTGTTGACCATTCTATGATTATTTTTGGCGATTTCTTTTTTGGTTCTGGATATCCCGATTTACAATACGTTAAAGTCATCAACCTTGAAAACAATACACTTAATGTTACCTCTATCCAATCATTCGAAAGCAAACTGATCGTCAACCTTACAGATTGGAAAAATAATTTAGTTCCACCATTTTCCACTAGAACAGTAGCTTATGTTGCTCTTGGAGCTCTAAAAAATTCATCATGGAACCACATAAAGTCAGGAATCGAAATGGAATATGCTTTGACGATAAATAATATTCAATACAACAAAACAGTAATTTTCCGCAAATTCGGAGGCATCGCGAAATGCGCTTATTATACTCCACATGGTAACGATCTAACAACAGTCGCGCATATCTCTATTTCCAATCTTCACCCTGATCCTTTGATGATTCTTTCTGCGACGGTCGAATCCCAATATTTCTCCGTGAAAGAATTTTTCCCTCAAGTGGTTGGCCACAAAAACTACTCAGAAGAATTTTTCATTACATTAAACAAAAATTTTGACATTTTAGAACAACAACTTTACTTAATTGTCCAAACAAACGCTTCCAGGCACAAGTTTCCGATCATACGACGTCCCATGCCTATCGAAATTACCTCAAATACCTTAAATGTCTCCATTGACTCACATACCAATTCAATTAAGTTCGACAGCATCTTCAATATGTCATCGAGGACATTATCGTTCAGAGTCAAGAACAATAACCACGCCAGAATATTTTTAAAGAATGTATCTACTAGATTTCCCTGCATTTTAGTAGAAAGAATCGATCCCTACTCAGACGGAGCCATAGAACCATTCCAGACATTAATTGTATGGGTGAGAATCACTTTCGTGGCCTTTTGCAACACAAATACAACATTTACTTTCAATTTCGAACACAAGAACGTTTCAATTGGCCTATTATACAATCTACTCGCAGGAACAATGAAATTGGACATTGCTTTACGTAAAAATTTCATTATCGGAGCAGATTATGAAGGATATATCACTGTAAAGTCAGAATTTGCAGACAAATTACGTATTCTCGATATCCAAGCAAACTATCCTCAAGTGATACCTCATAAAATGCCACTCGTAATTACAAATTACACAAAATTTGTTATCGCAACGTATAATATCTCTCTTGACGAGAATTTCCCACTCACAGCTGGATTTTTCAACATACTGAGAGAGAGTGATACATTTGAAACTCAGAAAAAGCGTTGGAAAGAGCTTTGGACGGGCAATTTCGTTTTTCCAATTGAAATCAAGCTCAGACTTGAAAACGGCTTCTATTTCATAGCCACAATGGACAGAAATATCTCGCACGCGGCCTTTCCGCAGGGAATTATCGATTTCGGAACAATTCATGCGGATGAAATCTTCTGTAAGTCGATAAATCTACATAACCCGTTCACTAGGCCAATTGTCTTCACATTACACGATATCGTGAATGAAACGAACCCGAAATTCAACATAAAACACCGAAAAATTATTTCTATTGACAGCCACGAGACGAAAGAGTTCATGCTGACGTTCGAGGGTACTGTTCCCGGCAAGTACAACCTGGAAATACCGGTCACGACCAACTGTACACCTCCTTTTACGATAATAATTTTGGCGAATGTAGAATATCCTCGAGTTCGGTTCAGTAATGAAGATCACAACATGGTAACTAGTATAGAATTTATTGTTGGCGACGATCAGCAGTACATGTTGAATAAATGGACGAAATGCGTTTATGTGACTAATAATGCGTTCTCTCCTATCTCGATGAATAACTTGTACATCACTCCCAACATGTTCATTTCATTCCGAGCCAATAAAACCAGTTTGCAGCCTTACCAGACGACATCTGTCTGTTTCGACTTCTCATTGTGGCTTTTCGACTCGGACAAGACCGAAGGAAACATTTCTTTCACGGTTCTCGCTCAGCATTACTTGTATACACTCCCAATTTACGTTAAAATTAGCGATAAAGCCGTAAAACAAGTAAATGAAGCAGTAAACAAGACGATGAAGGTTATTTCGACGATAGGATTGATGTCACCTTTTGTGTCACTTTTGATACGTATTACTGTATTTGTATGGTTCCGAAAAGACATGAAATGGCGCGAGAGGAGAGTACAGAGAGCTGCCAAACACTACAGTGTTAAAGAGTACACAACTGCTGAAGTTCAGAAAGATGATTTGACTTCAAATCCAAAGACTCAAGAAGAGAGATCTAGTTAAAGCACATATAAGTGCGTTCATGATTGATAATTTTCATAATAATAATAGAGAATAAAGTATAGTTTTATTCAATACTCACTTATTTCAGGGTCATTTTGAATTCGATATGCAAAAATTTAAAATTTCAGACCATCTTTATATAATTTGCTTAGCTATCTAGTACACATATTAAATCATCTTAGTTTTATAGAAATAAAATATGGAGAAATTGAACGATTACTACTAATAGAATAATTTAGCAATCAGGCTTCAATCGAAACAATGTGTTTAGTAAACCATTAGAAAACCATGCATCTTGCACCATAAACTACTCAATAATTAAGAGCATCTAATATCGATCCATAATAAAATCAGTAAATACTAACTAATAGTATGGAATCTTATACACCTTACAAATTCTCCTTGAATGTTAGGTCCATGACACATATTATGCTTATTGATTGATTTCATATCTTCAAAGAATAAAAAAAAATGTTTTTTTATTGACATGTTTCTCATGTATCAAATAAGTTTCGCATATTTTTGAATCGGATGCAATATTAATCAACTTTTTTTTTTGATATCAGATCCAAATGTTGCTAAAATGCAAAAATACTACGATGGTTTTATACTCATTTTATATGTTTTAATTACGATGTTTTACATTAATTTTCCCATTCAAATTTGAAATGAATTTGAAAATCAATGGTTTTATATTATTATCTTGGCAAAACTTCGACGCAAATGCATGATTAATGGTACACATGTTTATCCTTTAATATTTAATATGATTTGAAGTGAGAGTTTCATATCTCTGTTGTTTTATAAGAAGAATCTTAATATCCGAAAAAAATAATATAAAAAAATGTATAATTTATTAACTAATAGACTTATAAATGGTTGAGATCATATGACTAACTGCATCATCATTCAAAGTTTGAACGGATGATTTCTCCAAGAAAAGAGTGAATAAATTGCCAGCCTTCTTTCCTGGTTTCTTAGACTTCTGTGATCTCGCTAACTCGATAAGAAGTTTGAGAACATCAGGACTACTTGCTCTTTCGCATGCATCATAAACAATTTGCAAGTTAAGGTTAGAGAAAATATCCTGGTTCATTCTGATGATTTCTGACAAACCTTGGATGGTAGATTTATCATCTGGACGCTGGCAGAATCTCCATAATAAGATGAATGCACATTCTTGTGTTCTCTTGAAGCAATCAACCATTTCTTGGCTGTTAGTAGTTGTGAAACATTTCAACAAATCGTTTTCAAAACCTTGTGTTTCCAATAAATGAATCAATTTGTTTTCACTGTCGAAAACAAAGTCAATACCAATCATTGTATGAACTAATCCTTGTGTGAAAGGTAAGTTAGATTCAGCGGAAATACGCTGTATGATCTCATTTGTTAAATATTCATCTGTTTTCAGTTTGGAAATTCCGAAATTACGAATGAATTTGTTCGTAGTTTCTATGACCATATTTATGGAAAATTCGCTTTGTGATGAACAGATGTTTAACAAACCACCAATAATGAATGCGATTGACTCTTTATCAGTTAAATTCAAGTATGAAAGAGCTTCGAAACCAATCATTATTTGTTGTGGTTTTCCTGTTTGAACCAAAGAAATTGCCTTTCTCTTGTAAACTTCTGAGTTATTGTCCAACAAACACAACAACAACAAAGAAGATAAAAATTGCATGTTATCATTACTTTCTGTAGAAATATCGCTATTAAACAAACTTATAAGCTTTTGTTTGTCAAGTTTAGCATTATCAGCAATATCATAGATGACATGGGATAATTTGGAAGCACGTGTTGTCCATTGTTTGAACTCTTTCTTCGCTAAATCATCATTGAAATCTGATGCTTTGAAATCTGGTTTTCCAACATATTTCTGGTAAATTGTTTCAAGTAAATTAGTTGTCATCTCTGTTCTCTTATTATAGATTGCTGTATGAATAATGTGAAGAAGATCTGGATAGCATTCTTCATCAAATGTTCCAGCAATGATCAAAGAAATCAATGTTCTTGCTGCTTGGAAGAAAATTGTCATTCCATTCTCTTCTTCCATGATTTTAGTGATTGCTGATGTCAATCTCTTTGAATTATTAGAGATAGTAATAAACAAAGAGATGGATGATGAATTGCCAAATTCACTTGTCATTTGTAACAATGTCTTGAAGAGTTTTTCTTCTGTTATTGATCCCCAAAACATCTGTGTGAATTGGCATGTATCTGCTTGTGGAATTGATGCAGTTATTTGTGCCAATGAATCTAATGTTCTCTTGTTTTCTATTGCTGCTTCTCCACAATTCTTCATCCATGGAACTAAATATGTTGATGAAATACAGAAATCATTGTGATTCAAGTATGTTATTGTCTTTGCAAATTCAGTGAAAAATGTATGTACATCTTGTGAATTATTCCTAGAAATGTCATCAGAAATCTCTTCAGCAATTTCATAAACACTTCCAACGTAATTACTGTTAGCGTATTTACTGAAATCAATTGTAGACTTGATTTCCGTGGAATTAATTGTTTTCTCAATCAATTCCAAAGCAGAACGTCTAACATTGAAATCAGCCATGTCCGAAACTAAATTGATCAAAGCAACATTCAATAACAACATTCTTAATGTTGGTCTTTCAACGTAAATCAAATTACGAGTTGTTGTTATTAATTTAGAACGTTTCAAACATTCTTGGATGTCATCAAACAAACTTGAATTTGTTGCAACACTGAAGTTATGAACGCAATCATCTTTATCCAAAATAAAGAATTTGTTGTTGTTTGGATGATCACTAACTTTGATGTTCTTGAAATTCCGATAAGGAATAACAACACGAGTATTACCTTTGATGTATTTAGATTTAGAAGTAACAACAATGGCTTGTTGTGTCAATAAAACTGTTGATTTCTCACCATTGTATTCACAAGAATAAATTGCATCATGTGGTAATAATCCTTCATAAGCAGCATATCCTAAAATCAAAGTATGTTGTGATACTTCATTCTTGAAAGCATCAATTGTTTCAATCATTTCTAATGGTGGCAAAGCATTCATTAATACAGTTTCTGAGAAATACTTTGCGAAATTAGGAGGAATTCGAACAACATAAATATGTGAAATGTTTTTAACAATGTAATCAGGAATCTGTGATGCAGCTTTGATCAATTCTTTGGGAGATGGTAATATGTTTAAATCAACATTACCAATATCACAAACAATTGTGTATCTGGAGTTCTCGTATCCTTTAAGAGTCTTCAAAATATGATTGATTATTTGGTTGAGAGGGATTTGGACCACAAATGTAGACATGTCCAAATAAAACACTTCATCACCTTTGATTGATATGAAATCTGTCTTGTAAAATGTCTTCTCCAAAATCTTGTTTAACACTGGATTGAAGTCTTGTCCATTATGTACATCATTGTTGTTGATTTGGCTCTGCAATGATTCAGACATTTGTTCTGTTTCTCTTAATTTCGACATGAAAACTAAAATTGATTCTCTCAATGGATTATCTTCTTTTAGTTCTTGCAAGATCTGATCAACAATAGGAATCAATGGTGCTATTAGTTTTTGGAGTGAAATAATAACAGCTGTTGGATCAATTGCCAAAACATGAGGAACTTCAGTGATTCTTAATGAAACAATTCTATCATAACAACTTCGAAGTTTCTTATAAGCGGCTTGAACAGTATTTGCGAAATAAGCATAATGAGGACGTTTTGCGTCAACTCTGTTTCTAACAGCAGCAACCATTAACAAAGAGCTTAAATGAACTAAACATGTTCTTGTCTGTTCAGGAATTGCTTCTGTGTAACCAGCACGTGTTGGTTCAATCAATGTCGGACAAATGAATCTCAAGAAAATGAAAGAAGCAATGGCTTGAACAGCAACAAATTGGGACTGATTAACAATAGAGTTATAAAGGATTTGTGCTGCTTTGATCAATCCTCTAGGCATTGTCTCTATGTTGTTTTCAAACTGGTTGACGAAATCACTGAAAACTTGTCTGAATTGTTCTCTGTTTTCATTGATGTTTTCATGTGGATCTAATCTTGTTTGGTCAATATGAAAACTAACACCGGATTCAGCCAAAAGAGTGACTTTTCTAATGATTGGTGTCATCAAGCCAAGCAACCATTCATTAGCAACCATTTGGATATAAGCGGAGAAAACTTTTGATGGTGTTCCATTTCCTCTAAACAAAGTTGTTCTGTTTAATTCTTCTTCTGTTGCATAAACAATTGTTGAATTTGTTAATTCGAGTTCAACCATTGCTTGGAAGAATTCAAATTCACGTCCTTTATAAGCAGCTGCAGCAGTCAGTTGACGACCGAATTCTTCACTCTGATGTGTTGGAACTTTTGATGCGAGAAGTTTTACTAAGTCAAAATCACCTCCCATCAACAAATCAATGAGAGTTTCTTTTTGGTTGAAAGCGACAATTTTCTGGTAAACATCAGCAGAGAAGAAATTAGTAAGACCATCTAAGAATGCTGTTCTTACTGTCGGATCTTCATCATATCCCATGGCAATGCATGAATTCATTCCAATGTAAAAGTTTTCTTTCATTATCGCACGCAACAATTTGAGGAGTTCTGAAACATCACAAACTTTCGTGTTAATTCCTTCTTTAATGAATGTAAAGAAGTGTGTGAAATTGGCAGCTGCTTGGTTTCTATCTCCTGCTGGAATTGTGGTGTCAGAAAATGACAAACCGTCCAAAATAATCGTTACACTTTGTAAAATTTGTTTGAAATAAGTAAAGTTGATTTTCTGGCCTTCCTTTATTGGTATCCAGATCAACATGTTCTTGGAGATCCTAAACCTGACCATAGGATTGATATTTACACCGAATTTCTGACAATCTGTCATGATTACGTTTGATGTCATTGCAAACTGAAGTCTGACATCATCTTTGCAGGAAACTTGTGCGTATTGGCCAAGGTAATCAAGTAAATTCGATATTGTATCGACTTTAAAGTACTCAGCTGTGATATCTTCACGTGCCATCAGAAGATTCATCGCTCTAGTGATGTTCATGGCCATTTCTTGGGTTGGGTTATCGATGTTTTCAATTGGAGTGTCATTGATCTTTGGTTTAAGGATTTCTGTGAAGAAACTGCAGTAATCAGGAACTAATGCTGCAGGAATACTGGAAGAAATGACACGGCCTGCAACTACACCAAGTCCTGTGTGGTTCTGGAGGAAGAAAATGATAAGTTTCTTCATATCTGCTGTAAGAATCTTCGTAATTGAGAGAATTAAAGTAAATGTTGAGATCCAAATGCCAATTGCGTTGTTTCGGAGTCTCTCTGGTATAGCTGCTGGTTCAACATTTGGCAAGGAAAGCTTTCCATTGCTTAACCCCAAAGAAATGGAATAAAATAAAATTAATAAAGTTGGAAGAGTGTTCTCAAATGTTGGTGGAGTTTTTTCGTTTCTAATGATCTCTGAGAATTTCCTATGCATCTCTTCCAAAGGTGTGTCAAGTAAATTTTCAATTTGGAAACGATGAATTGGTTAGCGTTGCTGGCCTTAGTTCTGAGAATTGGATATAGTTCTTTATGATATCAAGAACGGTCTTCTTTGAATCTGGTTCGTACCTTGTCATCGATAATAAGATAAATTCTTCAAGAGTTCTCAAAAGTCTTTCCCAGGATTCAGGTGGAGGAAGCATTGTTGCATCCTTAATAGCCGCTTTGACGTATTCTGTGGCGCAAAGTGCTAATTGCGGAATTCTCTGAAATTCAGGACCGGAAAGGAACTTCGGGGTTCTTGAGAGCGCAACATAAGTATCAAGGGTAATGGTAAGCATCTGCCAGAAACTTGGAGTAATTACATCATCAACGAATGCGAGGTTAAACATTGAAGAATTCAATTGGTCGACGCCTTTAATTGTTCCTTCTTTCATCATTCTCATGATTGATGAGTAGATATCTGGGTTTGCAAGGAAAACAAGACGAGTAAAGAAAGGATTTTCGGCAAAACCTGGAATCATGCTCTTAATAGCTTCCTTAGGAGCATTTGTGTCCTTTATTATAGACGATAAGACCTTGTAAGTTAATGGAACTAAAGCATTTAACTCATTTCGGAAAGAATATGGTTTTTCTGCAGTAAATTTACAGATTTTAGGCATAATGCTGCAGAACTTGACATCGTATTGGATGTTCTTGCTGTTTAATAGAAGATTTCCGTAAATTTGGTTGAATTTCTCGATTGAACAGTAAAGTAAGGAATTGGGAAGTTTATCATCAATTCCTGGTCAAGAGAAGGATCGAGATCCCTTTGCTTTGCAAAAACTTGCTTCAAAGCGTTTGCCGGAAAATCAATAAATTTCATCATGAAATTTACAAGAGTTGGCTGGGCTCCAATGTAACAAATTGTATCAAATCCTTTAAGAATTACGGAAAGCATGTTGAGATCGCTGTCACTTTTGAGTTCTTTCATTTCATATAAAGTTTTGAACATTGGAATGGTAAAATCACGAACTTGGTTAAGCAGAATATTCGGTCTGACAAGCATCAAGCAGAATTGTGCATTGTATTTGTACGAAACGTTTTTCATGTCCCATTCATCGATCATATCAAAAACTTGGGCTGCTTCATGATAGTATTGTTCTGATCACAGAATTTCTTGTACTCGTCGCTTGATAATTTGATAACATTCATAACGATATCTGTTATAGTTTTGCAGATAACTTGATAATAAGAAGGAGAAAGTAACGTTAGAGATGTCGTAAGCACCTTTAGGAAGGAGCCCAAGGTTTGTAAATCGTTTGTTAGGTCAATCCATGGAGCGATATTCGTAATGAAATCATTATTGGACAATTTTGAATTCAAACTTTGCTGAAGAGTCTTAGTTAAGCCATCGAAGAATGTTGGCGACCTTTTTGAGACGGAAATAAGCATTGTGCGATATGCCTTTTTTATTATTTTGACGTTGTTGCCGAAAACTGGATTATCTATCTTAATGTAAAGCTCAATCAACGTCATTTTCTTATCATCGGGTATGAATTCTTCTTTAGTATCGATTTTAGAGAAGCAATTATCCATAATCGCAAGAAAAACGTATAATTGAAGTAGATTAAGAATCATTAAGTTGTTGGAAGTGCATGAATTGTTGATAGAGTCTTCGATTTTATGGAGGAGATATTTAAAGATCATTGTTCTGTTGATATTAGTGATTTCAACTAGCGAATTAATGTCTGATTGAAATTTTGCTGTAGATATCGATAAGGATTAAATTCAATCTTTCTCACTGGACCAACAGGACAATTATCTGAATCCTCTTCCATTTTTTTCATGATTTCTTTGATTTTGGAGCGTACAAAATCAAGCGCCATGAAAAATTGATTTATCAAGTTTCAGATCTTGAAATTATAGTTTTATCATTCGGATTTATTGCATATATTTCATTAATTATGAATTTAAAACTTTTTGCTTTCACCCACAATAATTTGTCATGTCAAAAATCTGATTCCGCTGTAATTTTAGATCTTGTTCATACCTGTTTCGATTCAAAAGATGGCAATGGTACATACATCTAGTGAATAATAGAAGGGTGCTATTGCACAGGATTATTCATTCAAATTCCTAATATGTTAGGATTTCAAAATAATTTGATCATACAAAATGATCCAAAAGAATATTGAATTGACATCAGATATTGATACTTGTTTTCAATTCCAAATGTCTAATTTTCCATAATTTAAAAAAGGCGTGTGGGCAATTTTAACGACATTTTTTAACGCGATACGAGCGTAAGTCCATAGAATGTGTTTTGAGGGAAACTATAAAAATCCAAAATAGAGGTAAGTGCGCCATTATTACCTGCGAAGTTACATGGAATAATCGAAGAGTAAGTACAAGATGATCTTGCATCTTTCCAAGTAAATGAAATTTATTAAAATTAAGATGATAATATTCATTTATAGTATGTGTATGATGTGTTTTCAAAATTTCTTCAAATAAAATGCAATGATAATTTTTGAATAATTTTTTCTTGTGTATATTTCATTTTTTTAAGTGAAAATATCATTACATCAATAAGGAAAGCACAATCCAAATTCATATTAGTTAAATTAATCTACGACCAAAAAGCCCGCCAAATTTGAATTAAACACGTTTTATGATAAAAGTGTCATTTATGATTGTTGCATTTAGGGATAGTAGCCAATTTCGGTACCAATCTTGAAAATGCCTCGCCATGCCCGCAACATGGAAGAGAAGTATTGGTCTGATATTGAACTATCAATCAATGCAAACTGAATCACCTTGTCATGTTGCTCCACAGATACAGCAGTCTGAGTCCCTCGCTTGGTCATGTTGCTCCACAGATACAGCAGTCTGAGTCCCTCGCTTGGTCATGTTGCTCCACAGATACAGCAGTCTGAGTCCCTCGCTTGGTCATGTTGCTCCACAGATACAGCAGTCTGAGTCCCTCGCTTGGTCATGTTGCTCCACAGATACAGCAGTCTGAGTCCCTCGCTTGGTCATATCACACAGAATAATAAAAGTTCAGCTTCACAATACTTACCTGCTCTATTATGTGATTTTTTCCAACTATCATATGTTAGTTGTTGTATTGAAGTTGAGTATGAAAGAATAATGTTGCAAGATTTCTCACCAAATAAAAAATCATTAAAGAACATTTTATTCTTTGAAAATGTATTTATGTTGAAAATAATGGAAGATGTTATTCTTGTTAGTTAGTTTACGAAGTTCTTTTGGAAGAAATTTGTTGAATATCTTTATTTTGAATGGGAAAAGACTTAGGAAATTCACCACGAGCTCTTGAATAGGCAGAATTGTAATGGATGATTAGCTATGATGGGATTATACGATGTTGGTTTGTTCTAGAATGATTAAAAAGTTTTCAGGTAATGTGCTGATGCATTACAAAAGATGGAAATTATTTAAATAATAACATAGTTTAATAATATTCAATTTAACTGATTAAATATTTGAAAAATTATCTAATTAGGATTTTTTTAGTTTGAAAAGTTAATTTTAGGCATAGTGTTATAAATAAAAAAGCATCTACGCGTGTCAGAAAATCGAAAAGTTTTCCAAAAAAATCATAAATTTCAATTTTTGAAATAAAAATTGGTACTTTTAATATGTAAAATAAGAAAATGTATTTTTTTTTGAAAAATTTAGATAGAGTAGTTCTCTTTGTATCTAAGAGGGGTGAATTTTTTTTTCTTTAACAAGATCTGGAAACGAACAATTGAAATTTATTTTATCAATATCAGGAGGAAAAGTTAAGATTCAATATGGGATTGGTTGGGTGTAAGGTAGAGGAACTATTGTGTGATAGTTGATGCTTAGAGTTGAAATTGAAGGAAAATAAAACGATAAAAATAAAATGAATACTACCATGGACCCGTCAGTAATAGGTAGTGAAGAGAATAAATCATCCTTACCTCATACAACAACTCATCCTTAGCTGAGACAACAAGTCATCTTTACCTCAGACAACAACTCATCCTTACCTCAGTCATTGACTCATCCTTACCTCAGACAACAACTCATCCTTACCTCAGTCATTGACTCATCCTTACCTCAGACAACAACTCATCCTTACCTCAGACAACAACTCATCCTTCCTCAGACAAAAAGTCATCCTTACCTCAGACAAAAAGTCATCCTTACCTCATCATTGACTTATCTTACTCAGACAACAACTCATCCTTACCTCAGTCATTGACTCATCCTTACCTCAGACAAACAACTCATCCTTACCTCAGACAAACAACTCATCCTTACCTCAGACAAAAAGTCATCCTTACCTCAGACAACAACTCAATCCTTACCTAGACAT